TACATAATTTTTTTTTTGTTTCCTGGATCCAAAAGTGGAAGAAGAGACGAATTTAGGGCTTTTCTTTTTCTTGTTGTTGCAAATTTCCTAATTTTTTTCGCCGGTTTTAAGAATCGGTTTGAAATTCTTGTGAAGAAGTTTTATATGGAAAATTTTGCATCACTTTGGATCTTAATGTATGCACAATTTCTGGGTTTATATGAATTATGATGTGATTCCAGTTTATTTTTTGTTCAAGTTTATTTACGGATTGAGCTAAGAAAAAGGAGAGGATTTTGATGTTTCACCGATATTATCGGAAGGACAAAGTCGTCAATATAAAGGGGATAGTATGATAATCTGTAATCTGTGGCCGTTACTAGAATATTTTTTACCCGTTACTAACTCTTTCTAGTTATCTGTTACTTTTTTTTTTTTTTTTTTTTTTTTTTTTTTTAATTTCAAAAATTCATAGTAAAAGTAAAGGAAAAATAATTGAATGTCCTGAAAAAAGTAATAAAACCATGTGGGTTTGCATCTGTAGTTACATACTTTCAGATTCAAAACACTAGCTTGAGTTGATCCAAGCCCAATACAGTATTATATAGTAGATGCCTAGGCCACAAAACTATATTGAAACCAACATTTGTTTTCTTGCGTTCATAATTTAATCACCTATGAATTCGGTTTACATGGTGAATCTTCAGCTAGTAGACAAATGGGTTGGTTACAAAAAGGGCAAATACTAACACTTTTTCATTTATATGTGATCTCACTTTATTTGAACCGTTGGCACATATCTAATTCACACATTACACATAGTGGTTTAGACATTTTTTTAGGTAACCTTCGTTTTATGTTTAATCAACTATGATTATGTAGAAACACCAGCACATGTTTATATATATACGACCCGAGTGAACAACATGTGGAGGTTTAACTGTCCCACATCTATGGATTCTCAATGATAATATGTATCCATATATATAGTCTTCGTAATTTAATCAAAATTAATTATTAGTTGCGTGACCAATCTGAGGAAAGGTAATAATCTAAGAAGCATGGAATCGCCGGTGGAGCTGCGTTTTTCGCTTCGGAAGCGGAAGCGGAAGCGCCTGGAATCGCTCGGAATCGTCTCCGAATCGCGATTCTCTAAATGAGCCGTTTGGAACCGCGGTGGAAGCGACGATTCGGAGTTGGAAGCGTGGTGGTGTAGATCGGAAGCGTGAACGGTGGCTACGTTATTGAAATTCAATATTTCTTAATTTTATCATTTTATGTGATAATAATGATGATTTGTGTTGAATAGTCCATGAATTCGCAAAATCCAAGTGAAAAATTAGATAAAACGATGATTATTAACGAAGCAAAAAAGAGTGGCGGCCATAGCTAGGGTTTTGAAAATCGCAGGGGATGAAGATGACGGTCGAATGACCATATTACCCTTTGATAATGAAAAACCAGAAAAAAAATTGCCAAAGTATAAAGGATTAATGGGTTCGTACTAGCAACCTCTTAGAGAGACTTAATGCAATTTGCCAATAGTGCTACAAGAACTTTCGCAAATTCATTGCAACTAAAACTATATAACCTTATATTTGTAACCTTAAATATTAACTTATTTAATTAATGATATATAAAAGCTTTATATCAAATTTCCTGATTATTCTGTCAAACTATTTATTATATATATATATATATATATACGCTTCCAACACGTATCCGCTTCTTAAATTTTTTTAAAAATGCGCTTCTCCGCTTCCAAACGCTTCCGCTTCCGCGTACCCGCTTCCGATTCCATGCAGCTTAGGTAATAATAGAGTTGGGAATTTTCGTCCATTTATATGATTTCCCATGTTGCATCACCTGCAGCACCACATGCCTACTTATATATGTAGCAATTCACAGTTAATCATTAATTTCTTGTTTCTTTTGTTTTGTTCTATTTATTGTCAATTAATAAGACTACTGATCCAACTATCGAATGTAACCATAAATTTTAAAAGGTCGGTGTATACACATTTACATATATAGTGATATAAGTATATATTATAGATCTAATACTTGTATATAATTAATGTAGTCAAAGTCATAGAGAGCCATGTAGATGGATCTATATACATATCGGGCCTGATTGGTTGCGGCTGTAGCTTTAGGATTTTAGCTGTAGAAATTTGTCTGTAGATTTTTCTGCTGTAGCTGTAGAATTTAGGCTGTAGAATTTAGACCCTAAAATTAAATGAAAGCATGATTGGTAAAAATAGCTGTGACTTTTTTAAAGTGAAAACATGAAATAAATATTAGGAATATATTTTGATTTTTCTTTTTAATTTTTACTACTAAACAAAAAAAACACCATCTAAAACTTAAATAAAATTAACAACAAAACAAAAACAATCACTAAACACGTAGAAAACAATTAGCAACAAAACAAAAAAAAAATCACTAATTAATAATTGGTTATGTAAATCACACAAGAAGGGATGGGCAAAAATTATGAAAGATACGAACATTTCTTCTTCTCTCTGCTGTGGCTGCCTTTGCTCAAGGTTTGATTATTATATATATAATTCTTAAGCTAGGGTTTTTTTATCAAATTTGTTTTTAATATAAAACTTAAATAAAAATATACTCCAAAGCCCAAAACTTACGGCTGTAGCTTTTGACATTTCTACAACCCAAAAAAGGAAAAAGATAAAATGTTGCTGTAGACCTGAAAATTAAATGTAAAGTATGATTGATGTGAATTTATAGCTGTAGACCAAAATATGGCTGTGGAATGACTCTAAAGACACAACCAATCAGGCCCATCTTAAATTTCGTTAGAATATAATGAGTGATAGAACTTTGATTATAGTTGGTTTGATGGAAACAACTATATTATTTTGTTTACTTTAGTTAATTGTCATTAATTATGACGACTTTCCAAGTGTGAATTCGAATTTTTCTTCATGACAAGGAAAAAAAAAAGTCATCCTTTCATTTATTCTTTTTTCATTATAATGTACCTCTCAGTAGGAAACATACATGTGTATGATCAAGAACTATCAAAAAAAAAAAAAAAAAAAAAAAAAAAAAAGAGAAGTCATTTGTTGTTAAGATTCTCTTGAAATGAGGTCGAGACAACAATAAATATGTATTTTTATTTTAAAAAGGAACATTCGTAAATTGGAATTGCATGGGAATATAGTAGTAAGCATATGTACTTAGGCAGCTCATTTCAAGTATGAATTGGATTGTTGCTTCGGATGACACGGCTTACCTTATGATTGATTCAATTCTTTAAATTTCAATTCGATCTCTTTGGGATCACATTGTGATTATACTTATCATTATTCTTTAATAAATATGGTATGCTAAACTCTTTTTATCCTTGACACATAATAGGTATAACCGTATAAGAAACGAATGATATTTTAAACATCGTCAATTATTTTTGGGTACAAAAGTAGTAATCCCGACTATTCCATATATGAGTGAGCTACTCTTCTATCACATAAGCCAACACACGAATAACATTTTTGAGCTGTATACCTAACAAGTTTATGGCATTTCTCAAATTCGATTTATTTAGATGAAAAGATCATGTATATGTTTTCAACCAAGTATTTGGAAGGATTTGTGTTAAAATGACAAATATCATGTTGTTTAATCATGAATTTTAAAAGGTCTTGTAAAATCTGGTGTTATTGGATTTCTTCATTTTAAAGATAATTTTAGGGTGTTTTTTTTTTTTTGTTTTTTTTTTTCAAATTAAGATCCAAGTTTCATGGTTCTATGTGATATTTTTAGAGATTTTAATAACACATCATTCCTTAAAATCCCCCAAAAATCATCTGAAAACTAATCACAAACTTAAATGATTCAACACATTGCAGTGAATATAACTATAGAGTTGTACATTTCCTTTATTGGAAGACAATTGCTCAAGATTACATTATCCATAAGTTCCATACAAAAAAGAATGAGATAAGATAAACATTGGGACTAAATATGGATGGGCTTCCGTTAACAATCTGTTTTATAGAACCTTCGACCTTACCTCCCTAAAGAAGATTATTCTAGGACCCATTTTGGTTTCAAAGCCCATAAAGCTCCGAATGCGGCCCAAAACGACTCTGGAAAAAGAAGATTTAGATGTGTATCTCTTTGAAAACTCTTCTCTTTAATTTCCAGTTTCCAAAACGAACATAAACTATATTATCAAGCTACAGGCGTAAACAATTCAACCGTGGGGTAGGCACGTGGAGGTTAAACGACATCGTGTGTTCTGTGCAAAGAAGACACAACACGAAGCTCACATCACAGATTGTTCTCTCATTAAATGAATAAATATACAAGTTGAAGTCGGAAGGTAATGTATCATGCATTACTATTCTACGCTTATGTTATAAGTCCTCCCTCGCTTCACATTTTGTTTATTTTTATTTTGTTCCACAATTTGTTAAAAAAAAAAAAATTCAGTTTTTTATTTTCTTTACCTTATAAGCCCCCTTTTGTACATTTGTTTTAACATGCAGTTGAATCTAAGTTAGTTTTTTACAGGTTAATATTGCGCTGTCATTCAATAAGTGGACCATAAGTTAAAAAACCAAATCGTACATGATTACTCATTCTACTTTTAGAATAAAATCTTACAAATTTTAACGCTTCTCTTAAAATGCATACTTTGTGACAAAATGAAAAAGGAAAAAAAGAAATATATTATTCGTCTTTGCATAAATAACATAAAGTCAAGTTGCAGATCTTATTATAGTCAATGGTTATAACTAATAGTCAATATTCAATATTTACTTTTATGAACAAAGAATAATGTTTTCCTTCTTTTTTTTTCTATAAAAATGAATCAAATTTTTTGTTTAAAGCAAGACTTTTTTTTGTTAGTCTGAATATTTAACTTTAAACAAAGAAATTTTCACAGTAAAACACTTCAAATGAGCGAAAAAATTACATAATTAGTTGATATGATTTAATTTATACTTTGTGAATATATTTGAATATGAAAAGAAAGTTGATGTAGATTAAAAAAACGAGTGCAAGAAAAAGGAAAAAAATTGTTAGAATATAAGAATTAAGGCTGTCAAATGAAAAAAAAGGTCACGATTAATTAATAGAAAAGTATATACTGTATGCAGAATAGATACTCAATTCTATAAATGAATTAATTCAAGAAGGTTTGTTTACTCGTACATGAATTAGTGGCATGACCCTTGTGGTCTCATAATTAACCCTTATATATAAGATGATGATGATGAGGACAAAAGTACATGCCCCATAAGATTCTCTAAAATTAAAAGTGGGGTGTGATGGGGAAAAGAAGAGCACCATGCTGTGACAAAAGCCAAGTGAAGAGAGGGCCATGGAGTGATGAAGAAAGTGAAAGACTCAGATCTTTTATCCTTAAAAATGGTCATCACAATTGGAGATCTCTTCCCAAACTCGCTGGTCAGTCCTGTAATCTAAATGCATGCTTCTCTCTCTCTATCTCATTCTCATATCTATTTTTTCTCTTTTGTTCGCATAATTCTGTTTGAAGTTTCATTTTGTGACTTTTGTCTATCTTTCTATTGTTCATCTGTCATTCTATTTCTCATTACTTTGATTACTGTTCGATTCTTTCCCGTGAAACAATATTGTTTCGATAGACTCTTTACTCGTTACAGTTTTATAGATTTAAACAATAAAAATTACGAATGAAGAATGTTTTGGTTTTTGATATCCGCAACGTATCAAAATGTTGTTACATTTTTCAGTTATAATTTTGGTGATTATTTCATAAATTTTGGTATCTTTTTTCTTGAAGGAATAAAATCTGAGGAGAAGTTTGACCACAATTTGTAACCTTCGTGTTTATTATTTCTTCTAAAAGTTTCTCATACAAAATCTTCCGGAAGATGGAATGAAATCTTGAATAGATGGCTAAATTGCTCAATTAAAAATTAATGTAATGAAAAATAAGTAAAAATATGATGAAACCTTATGCAGCATCTGATGAAATATTCATGTAATTATTTAAAAATTAATGAATGATGGAGAAAGACAGAGAGAACCCAATCAAATGTGCTTTTGATGCCACTGCAGTGTATGTAGTGTTGAATTGACTAAGTTACTCGGTTTCTTATCTTCACTTTTGCCTTTTTTATATGTCAAGATTGATAATGTTGAAACTTGAAACAAAATAGGATTGATGAGATGCGGAAAGAGTTGTCGTCTAAGATGGATAAACTATCTGAGACCAGGTCTCAAACGAGGCAACTTCACCAAAGAGGAGGAAGATACCATTATCCAACTTCACCAAACTCATGGAAACAAGTAATCATCTCTCCCTTGTCTCAAAACCATCATCTTATTATCTAGAAACATTTATAATTATGCAAAAAGTAGTACTATAATGATCAGTGCATTATTTGGTCTCAGGTGGTCTAAGATCGCATCCCACTTTCCGGGAAGGACAGACAACGAGATCAAGAATGTGTGGAACACTCATCTCAAGAAGCGATTGATGAAGAGAAATTCATCATCATCATCTGATGTTACCCATCATTCAGTGTCCTCTACCTCTTCTTCTTCTTCCTCAATCTCATCAATCTTGAAGGATGTTATTATTATCAGCGAGATGCCTAACCAGGAAGAGGAGTTTGAGGAAATCTTGGTGGAGCAAATGGCATGTGGATTTGAGGTTGATGCACCACAATCACTAGAATGTCTCTTTGACGATAGCCAGATTCCTCCTCCTATATCTAAACCAGACTCACTAGAAATCCATGGGAAATCATCAGATCACGAATTTTGGAGCCGACTGGTTGAACCAGGGTTCGATGATTACAATGAGTGGCTCAGTTTTTTGGATAACCAAACTTGCTAGAACACAAGGAGTTGATCCATCATGTCTTACTGTTGCATTGTTTTTTTTTCATCTTCTTTCTTTTAGATAAATTTAGAATACACTGAGAACACACTGTTTTTCTAAAAGCTAGAAATGGAAACTAGAATGTAAACAAGTCAGAAGCTGATGTTGGAATTATTATTATACCGGACGGTGGGGATAAAATCATATTTGATATTAGATGAACTTTGGAAACACAAAAAACCTACGAAGCTGTCACTTTCTGCTTTTACAATATGGGTCGTTAAGAAAATGGTCATCCATAATAATCAGCATTTTCTTCTGCAAGCAGGTTTTTACTTTTACAAAAAGGCTTTTACTACTCTATTTCTGAGATATCCGAAGCTAGTGAGCAATCATCAAGGCCTGAGGTAAAGAATGGATCATACCATTGTGAACAACTTATCATCTCTATCTCTTCTGAAACCGCGTTCTCCTCCACCTCCTGCTCCTCGTCCTCCCTATCAGCAGGTGTGAAATCAAACTTGAGATTCGGGTCATTTGGCCTAACCCATGCCACTTCCAATTGCTCTGCTAGGAGTTTGCGGTGTTTGCTTTTTGTTGACTTGGCTGAGTCTGAGCCAGATAGCTTGTGTTTCCCCAGGGACTGTGTTTTCGTGCCTGTTCTTGACTTCAGATCATTGGCTGAGAACGTGTTTGAAGCCCATCCAAATGAATCTTCAATACAAGCATTTGCAGCATTCCTACAAACAAGACCACCGATTCTTTAGTGACTATTAATGCTCTCAAAACTATCGAAAGAAAAGTCAAATATATCAGAGTTCCAAACCTGTAACGGTTCTCTGCAGCAACCCTAGAACCTTTTAGAACATCTTCCCCTGTGGGCTCGTTCACATAATTTAATGAATCTGACCCATCAATGGACAGATTTATCATGGGTGGAAACTGTGTCAGGGAATCATCTTTGCCGCGTGGGAATTCCAAGGTTAAGTCTAATCCCACTTTATTGATAGGTTGATTCTCCTGCAACCTAGAACGGGAAACAGTATCGTCTGGCTGACTCGTGCCGGAATCCTGGAGAGCAGATTCTAACAACTTTCTACTTAAGCTGGTGACCTTCATCCCCTGCCAAGGCTTTCTAGCTAAATCTTGGGTGTGATTCACGGAACCCATAAACTGTCTGTTGAAAATAGGACTATTTAAGGAGAGCATTTGATCATTCCCAGTTCGGGTCGACGTCCTCCAAATTGATGACAGCAAGCAAGAAAAATGTTTTTGTAGGAGCATCTCCGTATCTGGCTGCTCAGCTGCAACATTTAGGAGTGTCCGTATATTTTCCTGCGCCAAAAATGTGATATTAGTGAAAACCATCTCTTTTCCACTATAATCTTCTTAAATTGATTAACAGGACCCATTTACAAGACAAATTCTAATATCACTAATTCATCACTACTTAAATGCAAGCTAGTGAGTAGCTAACCTAACGCTATGCCATAATCAACCTTACCTCAGTGACTTTAAGGAGAGCCTTCCCAGAACCTGTGTTGACGTTCTTCTCGTTCACTGCACTGTCGGAAGCAGACAAAATATGTCGTTGGATAAGCTCTCTATATCTCTCACAACAATATGCAGGATGTCGATACCTTCCTCTGTAAGCCCCACCAGCTGTCATTCCATAAAGAGTTCCGCTAACCAAATTCCAATTAGGCCCATATTCATGAACCATGGCACACAATATAGCATCTTCCTGAGGCAACCAAGAATCAGGCGAGGGAACACAATCTCTAGACCACAGATTTCCTTTCTTCAATTTCTCTGGCTTGATCATAAGAACACGCTTTATTGGCATGGAAGTGATGAATTTTTTCCCTATAGTTTTACCCCTGTTCGTCAGTTTCAATTCATTATCAACAACCACACTGTCAGACGGCTTTGATGGTTCCAGTTCCTCAAGTAGAGCACTTGTTTGCTTATATTTGATATCTGAATTCAGAATAGACTTCTTGTGCTTCTTTGCTTTCTTCTGCGAGGTTTTCTCTTCTTCAGTGTCAACAATTAAATCTCTTTTCTTGCCTTTCATATGCATCCGCGAAAGTGGTGTAACCATATCTGAGTCACTGCTACTCACATAGCCGAATTCTTCATTATCATCATCAGTCGAATCTTCAATTTTCACAACTGACTTCACATGTTTTGCTTCGGCAGCCAGTGATCCTTTCTTCAGGGATTTATATTTGGCTTTCTTCGCCTTTTTCTTCTTCTTAGGCTTCAGTACATGAGCACTTACGTTCCTGAGAAAAAGAATGGTTCAAATTATCAACTTGTTTTGATTATTATCCCAATAACTAGAAATCAGTGCTTGTCTATCAATTGCTGACATATAATTTTTAACAGCATTGTCATAGATAATCATATTGACAATGAACTGTGTGGGTTCAAAAGTGTCTTACTGTGTCAAATCCATATCAGCCACCTCTGCAGCTTCCCTCTCTCTAGCTTCATTTTCCAAATCTTCCATCAACTACAAACATAAGTAAATACGTGACCAAACTGAAATGCAGGACATGGTAGATGCACTAATCAATCTCACCTGGTGCTGAGCTAAGACTTCCACTTGCTGCCTGTATGCCTCGGTTGCAAAATCAGCATCCCATTCTGAAAATAGTGTTAACATTTCATGTGAGCTAAAAACCAGCCCATAAACTAACATTATACAAAGTTACATCATCGGCAACGTTCATTGTCAGTTAAGTAAGAATACTGAGTTAAATTATTGAACTGGATGAGCAAAAAAGGTTACACTTACTCTCGTAAACAAGAGGCTCTTCCCCATCATCAATCTCAGCTTCCATTTCCTCCTTGTACTTCTCAATGTGGTCAAGTTCCCATTCTTTCTCTTCAAATCCCGCTTCATTTTCCATTGCAGCCTCAACAATGATAGGGTCCCAAAGCTCTAAAAATCTAATCGCATATCTATCAATAGGACGTAGCTGATTCTCAAAAGATGAGATAGCTTGTCCAGCATCAGCGGCTGCTGCAGCCATTTGCTTGACATCATCTAACACATCAGCGTCATCTTCTTGGCTTGAAGTAGTGATTACAGCTCTCTCATCCCTAATATCACTATGTAACAATGAAATTTCTTCTTTGGCCAACCCGGCTGCAACTAAACCTTGATCAGCAGGCTCATCAGCCTTTATGTCATCTTCATTTACTAGCTCATCGTCTTCTGGTCTCTCTACAGGTTCTTCTGTAAACTCTTGATTGTCCACAGCTTCTTCTTGTTCTACTCTTTTAAGAGCCATATAGTCTGCCTCATCTTCTGCCTGTTTTAAAGCAGCCTCAACATCTGCATTTGACAGAGGTATCTCCGCCCCGCAATTTTTGCTTGTTTCCTTTTCATCCTTTGTAGTCAGAGTCTTATGCCCAGAGAACAATTCCATTGGATCGAGCTTCTTGAAAAATTCGGTGTTATACTCTCCGTTTTGTATTACTAGGTTATCAAGCACACGCTTCTGGTTTGCTTTCTTTAAGATATTCTCCTCAATGGTGCTCTCACTTATCAACCGGTAAATATGCACTTCACGTGTTTGACCTATCCTGTGGCAGCGATCTTGAGCTTGTTGATCCATAGCAGGATTCCAGTCACTGTCATAGAATATAACTGTGTCCGCACCCACAAGGTTGATGCCAACGCCCCCACTTCGGGTTGACAAAATGAAAAGAAAGATCTTGGGATTTGTATTAAACCGCTGCATTAATGTCTGCCTCTCTTCTGGCGGAGTAGAGCCGTCAAGACGCATGTAGGTATAACCATATAAATTAATGAAAGCCTCCAAGACGTCAAGCATCTTGGTCATTTGCGTGAATATCAACGCTCTGTGACCCCCAAATTTTAATTTCCTCAATAACATTGCAAGCTCCTGCAGCTTACCACAATCAAACTGTATCAGTCGCCTATCTGGGAAATATACTTGTCTCCTAACGATTGCAGGTCTAATTGGAGATAAAAGAGGTGACAATAAATCTGTAACTTTCTCCTTGTATGATGGACTAAGAAAAACAGGAGAGTCACTTTTGCTGCACCAGCAAGCAGGTGAAGGCACTCGTGCAGCTGGAATCACAAAAGTGAAAGCTTCAACTAGCTCAATCATTTGCTGAAAACGCTCGATCGGTGAAAGAACTATGTCAGCGAGGATTGAGGAATACATGTAAGATGAACAGTTAGCTTTAAGATGGTGTATATCATCAAGAGGACCCTTAATGGTCAAAAGAGTTCTTAGAGATGTAGAGTAAGTCGGCTTTCTCTGGCATCTCAAAGAATTCCACCAGGCAATGGCTGCTGCCCGATCCTTAGTTTCTTTAACCCTTTCCTCAAAAACAGCCTTACGAATTTCTTCAAAAATATTTGTCCCTTGCAGATTTTTGCGGTTTTTCAAACTCAAAGGGATTGCTTCCATATCATCCTTCAAGTTCACACGCTGTTTGATTAATTCTGAGGGTGTTGAAATAGCTTTTATCTCATCTCCTTCCCAAGAAGTCATCGAAAAATCAAGATGGGTGAATAAGAATCCCAAAGCCTCAAGATCAACCTTGGAGAACGGACTTTCCAAAAGCAGCGAACAGATTGTTGAACTCAACTGCACATCAATGCCAGCCATATCAAAAGAACTTACAATAGGACGACCCTCAAAGAGATCAGGATGATTACAAACTTTCCGCAACTGCATTATGATACTTATCATCCCAAAAAAGCTTCCACTGTTAAGCGTAGCCTGTGTTTCTGTGCTTGCTATGAAGTCCTCATACAAGTTGCGTTGCCTCTTAGACAGTCTACAGAAAATAACATGCTCATGTTTCGAAGGAAGTTGCTTCTCCACATCCCTTTTTAGGCGCCGTAGAAGGAAAGGACGGAGGACATTATGTAAGCGATCAATAACTTCTTTGTTGATTTTTTCTTGTCCCTCAACCATCCCTGCTATCGGGTTACAGAACCAATCTTTGAATTCCTGGTGGGACTGAAAAACATGTGGCATCAGAAAATGCATAAGTGACCACAATTCCATAAGATCATTCTGCAGTGGTGTACCAGTCAACAAAATTCTGCGTTTAGAATTGAAGTTCAATAGTGTCTGCCATCTCTGAGACTTCCAATTCTTAATTAAATGGGCTTCGTCAAGAATCAAGTATTTCCACTTCTTGCGCTTGAACATTTTACTGTCCTGAATAACTAGCCTATAGGTCGTTATGCATACATGAAATGAGTTAAGCTTCATCCATCCTTGTCTCTTGAGTTTCCGCTCCTTTGCACTACCAAAGTAGGTGAGAATTTTAAATGCAGGACACCATTTAAGAAACTCCGTCTCCCAATTAAGCATCACACTTGTTGGAACCACAATCAGATGGGGACCCCATATCCCCTTATCACATGCGAGGTGTGCTAGAAGAGCAATGGTCATAATGGTCTTTCCAAGACCCATTTCATCAGCCAGAATACCGTTCAGCCTTTTCTCATACATCGTGACAAGCCAGTCCAAACCAATGTGTTGGTACTCACGCAGAGAATGCTTGAGTAGAAACGGCAGTTTCGTTCGAACTTTTGTTGTGGAGTATGTAAATCCAGTTGGCTGCGCAGATCTTGCTGCTGCTGCTGCATCAGCAATTTTATCACTACTATCTTTACCATTATCTTCTGTTATTTCATGGAATGTGCCTTCAACATTTTCTGAGCAAGGCTCTGGATCTGGCTTACATTCTGTTGAATCAACGTTTTCATTATCTGAATCAGCTTGCTGCCTATTTTCGTCAGAGTTTACTATAGAGTCTTCAGATTGAGCACATGAATATTCAGAGTCATCCTCAGATATATCCTTGTCACCGAAATCCTATCACATGAAACTTGAATTTCAGAAAAAAACAATAAATACTTCATGACATAGGCACACAGGAGACTTAAAAGGCATACCTCCTTATACCTTGCAAGTAGTACTTCAATAGGCATTTCATTCTCTTTTTGCAGCAGAGCAATCTGCAGTACAAGGGGAAATTTCTTGTAAACTCTCTAGGTAACAACTTTTATCATATCTCAAGAAAACAGAATAATTAATAGGTTGGTCACCTCTTCGACATGGTCTTCATTATCAGCTTTCGCCAATTCCTCTTCGATAGCCAATGTTGTCTCATCATCCTGCACCAAAAGAGTAGATAACTTTGAATACAAATGTTTGTTCAAAAACTTTCTTCGAAAAGAGCCAAGGCGAAGAGAATCAAGTTAAAAGAGAAAAGTCCTAAAATAATGATCTCCGGCATTTGATGAAATGGCTGACCTTCTCCTCACCAGTGGCACCAACAAAGTCAACATCTTCCTGCACATATCACAATAAGTGACACAGTAAGTTCATCATTTGCAGCCAGAATCAGAGACATTACGTTAATTGCAGAGAAGAACATGGTTACGGTCTTTTGAAAAAGGATACACAAATGAGATCAGATCCAGTTACCAGTTCATCATTGAAATCATAGGTATGATCTTCCTTTCTGGACTTCACAGATGCAGTCGTCATGCCTGGTTCGAGGTCATGAGAATGGGTCTCAGATATTGCCAAATGGCCATAGCTATCATTCTGCAAATGAAGAATAAATATTACATTTGAGCCAGGATTTCGATGACAAATCAGACAATGGGATTTTAAAAAAGACATACAACTTACAGAACGACGAACATTTGGGTTCCCTTCAGTTTCTTCAGAAGCTGTAAGATTGTTCTTGTCTGCTGCAAATGTCAAATGAGACGAGGAAGTCAAAGAGCAGTTGCATTGCTTTCAATACATTATATAGGAACTAGACACCACTCACCCTCTCCATGATCTTGACCTACTGAGGCCAGATTGTCCTCATTTTCATCTTTTACTGGGCTAGTTTCTCGGCTAACTGAGGCCAGATTGTCCACATTTTCATCTTTTACTGGGCTGGTTTCTCGGCTAACTGGGGGATCAAAATAAAACTCTTACACAAACGAGGATGCAATTCAAATAGTTGACATTTCTTGAGAATACAGCTTGTCTAATTCAAAGTAAAAAATGATAACGTGAGCAAAAAGGTCAATCAATAGCGAGTGTAGATTTATGCCAACCTCTTCCAGCAGTATAACGTCTGAGCAGCTCCTCAACTGGTAGATCCACTTCATTTTGCAAAGCTTCCAACTCTTCCTGTCTTTCCCGTTTGGTGAAGTGTTTTTCATCCTCCTCAATAGTATCTTCATCATCTTCCTAAGTGTAATCGTGGGCTTAAAATGAGATATGGAACATATAACTACTCATAAGATCAGAGATAAATAACTAGATAAATTAACAATAACCAATTCAATCTCCACACAAAATATTCAAAACTAGAGTATAGCCTGTATGTTGGGTGCAGGGTGATGTCAAGAAAAAGAAAACGATTTCCTTAACAAAAAGATCAAGCTATTCTCTATCTATCTTTGAGGTGCAGATAGATTCAAGGAGTGATACACAGTAACTGCCAATAAGTGGTAAAATAAAAATTAAAAGATGATAAAGTGAAACTCACGGTCTCATCCTCGGATTTTAGATCATAGTCCTCATCGAGTTCAGGACTTCCTGATTCAAGACCTGCAGCTACCGTGTCAAGAGAATTGTTAGGATCCAACTCACTTGCTTACTGTAAACAACAATGCTGTGTTGAGTAATAGGCTGCTCACAAGAATTTATCTCTGGAGGTATCTGTTCTGCCCTCTCCTCATCACTTTTTGATTCGATAGCTAGTAGAGGTTTTGAAGGAGTATTTTGGCCCTGTTTATAAGGCTCCACTAAATTTTCAGCCAACATGGTTGAGTACCTGACATAAACAAACAGGTCAAATGCAGTTCTTTTAAATCTGTTCCAGAATTACAAAACTATGTAAGAAACATGCCATAGTAGTAACCTCTCAGTTTGGCCTAACAGAAATTCAAGTTGCTTGTCCATAGCCTTCTTCTTCTTCTCATTGCGTACCAGCTGATGCTTGTAAAGCACCTATAAAGTTGCCAGACCATACATAAGAACAAGCTTCAGATACACAGAAGTTATGCCAAACCTTAAATTTCAAGGCCCGTGTAGAAAAGTAAAAGAATTACCAGCTTCTCTACTTTCATCCAAAACTTTTTCATGTCTTTAGAGATATTGAGAGCTACTTTCCGTAGCCGCTGTTCTTCTTCCTATAAACGACAATAATGTCACTTAAAAAAGTAATGCTGGAGTGTGCAAGTACTCTGAAAGAGAAAAAGAAAGGAAGAGGAGAGAACCTTTAGCTTCCTTTCTTCCCTAGATGCCTGATCTAGCATTCCTTTGCTGGCCCTCAAAGCAACCTTCTTCGCCTGCGCCAGCTTCCATTTCCTCTCAGACTCAAAGTCCTACAAAAACATCACCAATTAGCAGAGAAACGACATGCATGCATACAAATTATTGCAGAATGATCCAAAATAGCCACCCTTCAATTACCTTTGAGAGCCAAGCCATCTCCTCCAAAACATGGTCCCAGTGAGTTTTCGGGCGACGTGGTTCTTTAGGAGCTTCGAGCGTCTACAAAGAAAGAAACAGAAACCGTTTACACTTTCCAATAGTGATAACCTCAAACCAGAATCAACCGGAAAAAGATGAACTCAAACGTAAAAATGAAAACTTGGGGCTAACCTTGTGACGTTTAGCTCTGGAGTCATTATCAGGTTTAGATTTGCCACCTTTGGACGCCATTACTATATCAGGTTTAGATTTGCCACCTTTAGACGCCATTTACTAACGGCTCTAAGCAAAATCTTCAAAGAAACCGCCAAAAAGAGCGAAGAAGATGACTAGTGACTGCAGAGTGCAAAGTTTGCGAGTACACAAAGCCCGAGAAATTAGGGTTTCCACTTCAGCGCAAAAAAACCCAAGCAAAGATTTCATCACTAGGTTCCGTCACCCAAAACATTACAGTAATTTTCGATTCCAAATCTCAAACTTTTTACGACTAATCTAGCTGAAATTTGTTTTCCTCGAATCGAACGGGAACAAGATTAGATTTTTCTGAAATCTCTTCACTTCATTCTTACTAAGATGATGTGATAGGAGATCGAGAAAAATAAAAAATGGGAGATACGAACGAATTTGTAAAAAAGGAAGAAGCTTTGGTTTTGAGATTTTTTTTTTAATCCAGAAGAGCCTGCTTCAGAAAGAAACCCGAGCTAGCGGCGCAAATAGATGTAGAAAATTCCAAGTCAATTAAAAAAAAAAAAAAAAAAAAAGTTTGGGTTTCGTTAACCCTTTTTCCTCTCTGTAAAAAGTAATTATCCTGTAAAATATCTAGGATCTTATACTAAAATGTGGATACCGGAGATATCACTATCCGATGATTTATCTTATCGCCTTATCGGAGATATTAACTATTTCCGTCGTTTGTTATATGTTTCGAAGTTCGATGAAAATATATATACAAATTAAAATTAAATTGTTTTTGTGGTTATCAATATTTGGTATATAACGAAAACGCTGACTATAAAATCGTCATTTGGTAACAAATATTGTAATTAGTAGAAAGATAATAATTTTGTAATTCTCTACTAAAAAAAAATGAGGAGGAGATATTAAAAGCAAAGTTTGGTTAGTGGGTAAAGGTCCAAGTAAGAAGAAGAGACAGACACACGCACCCATTTTTTTGTCTGAAGCTTTTAGCGAATTTGCGTGTGTGGTTATGGAGTCTCCGTTCAAACCTGATGTCGTCAGAGGTCAAGTGGCTCTCATCACCGGTGGTGGATCCGGCATCGGTTTCGAGATCTCTTCTCAGTTTGGCAAACATGGAGCTTCTATCGCTATTATGGGACGCAGGAAACAAGTCCTCGACGACGCCGTCTCCGCTCTCCGATCTCTCGGAATTCAGGTAATCCTTTTTTCGATTCGCGGTTTTGTTCATCTAGTTATGTGGATTTTTCGTTGAATTCTCTGTTTCCTTTTAAGGCTATTGGATTAGAAGGTGATGTTCGTAAGCAAGAAGATGCGAGAAGAGTTGTGGAAGCAACTTATCAGCATTTTGGTAGAATTGATATTCTTGTTAACGCTGCTGCTGGCAATTTTCTGGCTGCTGCTGAGGATTTGTCTCCTAATGGCTTCAGAACAGGTTCATTTTTTCGATTATCATTAGTTTTGATCATGGTTTGTGAAGAATTTTGCCTGAAAGTTTGTCAATTTTAGCTCAAGGAAACGTTTTTATTGTTGTTGTGCAGTCTTAGACATTGATGCGGTAGGAACATTCAACATGTGTCACGCAGCTCTCAAGTATCTTAAGAAAGGAGGTCCTGGGAGAGACTCATCAACCGGTGGCGGTTCCATTATTAACATAAGCGCCACTTTGCACTACACAGCTTCTTGGTATCAGATACATGTATCTGCAGCCAAGGTAATTTGATTAGTCTGATAACGTCGTTCACTGTCTCGAGTTTTGGTTAGGAAATCAAGAACTAGGTAATGGGAACAATAGAATGTAGCAAATCTGATCTTAGGAGTTTGAAACTTGAAACAGGCTGCAGTTGATGCTACAACAAGAAACTTGGCATTGGAGTGGGGAACTGACTACGACATTAGAGTGAACGGGATTGCACCAGGTCCCATTGGAGGTACACCGGGAATGAGTAAACTTGTACCTGAAGAGATTGAAAACAAAACCAGAGAGTACATGCCTCTTTATAAACTTGGAGAGAAGTGGGATATCGCAATGGCTGCACTCTACCTCAGCTGTGATTCTGGTATGCTGAGTTAAAAGCACACTCTTTTGTCTAAAACATATATAGATGGTTAGATGATGATACATTGCTTGATTTGGTTAACAGGGAAATATGTGAACGGACTGACAGTGGTGGTAGATGGAGGACTGTGGCTTAGCAAACCACGCCATTTGCCTAAAGAAGCGGTGAAGCAACTCTCTCGTGCGGTGGAGAAGAGGTCTAGGGCCAAGCCTGTTGGTCTGCCGACCAGCAAGCTGTAGATCATTTGGATTTTCTCAGATCTCAAATAAAAATGTATTGGGTAATTGGATTACATCAGAGACAAAAATTGGTAGTAAGATCATGTAGATCAAACTATCTTAAGCACAATAAAATTAGCATTCTTTACAACATGTAGAGGATAGAGGCAAAACAGTAAACGAATATATGAGCTAAAATGTTAAAGCTTTAGAACCTCTCATCAATGATAAGAGAATAAATATTCCAAACTCTCTAAAAACCCAATGGCTAACAACATTGTGAGTCACTCTCTCTGTTTCTCATCTCCTCATCTTTTTTATCTTCTTTGATCCACATGGCTTCCGCTGCCGCAAGTCCCGCCTTTTCACTCCTTAAGTCCACCGGCGGCGTCGCTTCCTCCGCCGGAACTCGCGCACGCGCCTCCCTTTTACCAGTTCCCTCTACCTCTGTCTCCGCGCGTCCACTTGGCTTCTCCGCCACTCTCGATTCCCGTCGTTTCACTCTCCACGTTGCTTCCAAAGTTGAATCGGTGCGCGGGAAGGGAAGCAGAGGAGTGGTTTCTATGGCGAAGAAGAGCGTCGGAGATCTGACCTCAGCTGATTTGAAGGGGAAGAAGGTTTTCGTGAGAGCTGATCTCAATGTACCTCTCGATGATAACCAGACTATCACTGACGATACCAGAATCCGTGCCGCTATTCCAACGATCAAGTATTTGATCGACAATGGTGCTAAAGTTATCCTCTCCACTCATCTGGTAATGTTTCCACACACTTTATACATTTGAATTCCTCCGTTACCTGAACTAAAGGAGAACACTTTATGCGTTTTGATCTTCCAGGGAAGGCCAAAGGGAGTCACACCAAAGTTTAGTTTGGCTCCTCTTGTCCCTAGGCTCTCCGAGCTTCTTGGTATTGAGGTAAAATCTGTGATTTTTCTCAGTAATCAATCATCTTCCTGTGAGAATCAATCACTTGAGAGTTTATGGATGGTGAATTTCGCAGGTTACGAAAGCTGATGATTGTATCGGTCCAGAAGTAGAAAGCTTGGTGGCTTCTCTTCCTGAAGGTGGAGTTTTGCTTCTTGAGAATGTCAGGTTTTACAAGGAGGAAGAGAAGAACGATCCTGAGTTTGCTAAGAAGCTTGCTTCTCTAGCTGACCTTTATGTCAATGATGCTTTCGGAACTGCTCACAGAGCTCATGCTTCTACCGAAGGAGTCACTAAGTTCTTGAAGCCTTCAGTTGCTGGTTTCCTTCTGCAAAAGGTAATATTTTGATAGAGATTTATTTTCTTTTGATTGTCAATTCTGCATTGAAGCACCATTGTACCTTACCCTTACTCATGAATTTTTTTGTTTACTTCCTCTCTACCTCTACAGGAGCTGGACTATCTTGTTGGCGCTGTTTCAAACCCAAAGAGACCATTTGCAGCCATAGTGGGTGGTTCCAAGGTCTCATCAAAGATTGGAGTTATTGAATCGCTTCTGGAGAAATGTGATATCCTTCTTCTTGGTGGTGGAATGATCTTTACATTCTACAAGGCACAAGGTCTTTCAGTTGGTTCGTCCCTTGTTGAAGAAGACAAACTTGAATTGGCTACAGAACTCCTTGCCAAAGCTAAGGCCAAAGGAGTCTCTCTTTTGTTGCCAACAGATGTTGTGGTTGCTGACAAGTTTGCTCCTGATGCCAACAGCAAGGTCTGTCTCTCATCTCGCGGTTGCTTAAGCTAGGCAGTTAATAAAATTCTTGGGTGATGGTAAATGAACAGGAAATGAAATAGGTTTTTGGGGATTTTAGTTAAAAAACCTTAGCACTAGTCTACTACATATAAAAGCATTAAAAATAACTGAGAAGCAGTTTATTGCTCCTGAAAGCTGGGTTTAAAACTCTTATATCAACCGTTTGCTAGCTGTTTGTGTTTCTTGTAAAAGAAAACAGAGGGGTGTGGTGTTCTAGATAAACTAGGTGCGGTTGTTCTTGCTTGATGATCCTTAAAGAGAGAGAGATGAGAAAACAAAAATTGTTAAATATTTGATCTTGCTTGAGCTTTGTGTTCTGAGTAAAGTATGTACTGTTTAATGTGGATATTTGTAGATTGTGCCTGCATCAGGCATTGAGGACGGATGGATGGGATTGGACATCGGTCCAGACTCTATCAAAACTTTCAACGAAGCTCTGGACACAACACAAACAGTTATTTGGAATGGACCTATGGGAGTTTTCGAGATGGAAAAGTTTGCGGCAGGAACAGAGGTAAGAAAATGATTTACTCATGAACATGTGGTAGATGAATATTAGATTAAGTTTGAGATTGTGGTTGTTGCAGGCGGTAGCGAATAAACTAGCAGAGCTAAGTGGTAAAGGAGTGACAACGATAATAGGAGGAGGAGACTCGGTGGCTGCAGTGGAGAAAGTAGGAGTAGCAGGAGTCATGAGTCACATCTCCACTGGTGGTGGAGCCAGCTTGGAGCTGTTGGAAGGCAAAGTACTTCCCGGTGTGATCGCCCTTGATGAAGCGATCCCAGTCACCGTTTAGAAACTCTTACCATCGATGAGTCAAACGCTGTATACTTACAGAATTTCTTTCTATGTAAATCTACCTATTCAACACTTGATTATTTATCAGAGTCTCGTTCTCCGGTATAGAAACTCATATATTAAAATTCTGGAAGAAAAAAAAAAAACAAAAGATAAGAAAAGACATGGACCAGACACCTAGTAATCGAAAGACAAAGACAAGTACTTGCTCCAAAAGCTTTGGATTTTGGATGTCTTCTTAATACCATCATCCCGTTGAGTGTAGGTTGGGTAGTTGGGAGATGAAGAAGAACCATAGTAGTAATCGCTTAATGTATGTTCTTTCTCCTTCAATTTCTCCAGCTCTGCTTTCAGGTCACTGTTCAGAATCTGCTCACAATAAACTTTATTGCCTTCAAAGGCAAAGTACAACTTCCAGAACATTTTCTTGTCCCTCTCCTCCTCCATATCCAACTCTTGCAGCAAGTTCCGCAGAATCAAAGGCCCCTTCCTCCTAAAATACCCTTTTACGAAATCTTGAAACCCCGCGAGCGGCTGTTCAAGAATATCTAGCATCTGGTGACATGACTTGTTGGTGTTCATCAACACAATCTCTTGAATGTGGAGAAACACATCTAAGATGTTGTAGCAGGACTTTTCTTTCAATGACTTTTGGGCTTCAGGAGTACTCAAATGAAGGCCATAGGGATGGTAATAGAAACTCGGTGCTCGATATGGATACTCCCTAGGGAACTTGAGGTCGAAGAAGTACAAGTTATGATTCTGATGACAATCTGTGACAGTTACAACAACTCTCATCAGCTCTTTTCTCTCTTTATAAGTTCTCACGAAGAAGCTGACTCCTTCCTTCTCCCTCGAGGCTAGTCCTGTCTCTAGAATCCCCCACAATCTACCCACGGTACTACTCGAGCAGACGCAGCAGCAAGAGTAACAGCAATGGTAGTTGTAGAAGTGATGGTCTCGCGGAGCGTCTCCATAAACAGCTTCGAACCTTTTGAATCTCTTGAAGTTTAAATCAACTTTGTCTCCTAACTCCATGATCTCTTTCTCGAAAATATCAATAACGAAGTAACTGTCTTTTCCAAAACGAACGATGTCGCCCACTTTATCACCTTCCGATTGCGGTTTAGACTCCGGTATAAGTTTTGGGGATTCATCTTCTTCCTGCTCAGTAGTAGAAACTGCCGAAGCTTTCTCCGCACGTCTCATAAATTGATTAGCAGATTTTGACCTAAATTTGTCTGCAAGTAATACTCTAGGTTTACCTGCTCGATCATCATCAGAGTCGCTGCTGCTTGCATCAATACCTTTATTCCTACCTTCGAAGAGATTAGTAATCAAAGAATTATTATTACTCATGATTTTGCTTTTCTCGTGAGCTCTGTTCTGCCTCTTCTAAGTATTTTATAATGGAGATCTTTAAGCGATTTGTTTAAGCTAATGTCAGTTAGGATTAGGAAAAGAGTAGACCCTAAGAATTAAAGGATAAGTTATATAGATTCTGACCGAGATACGATTATGAGCCTGATTAATTGTGTCTTCTTTATTTGGTAACTGTTTTAACAAACTTCTTATGATTTACTTTCCTTAATATGATTATTCTCCTAATCCCTAAATATACTGCTTATTAGTTATAAAAAAAAAAAAGATTTATCTTTCAATCTTAATTTATTTTACTTCAATAGGATTATAAAATTTTATTGGTATCTATTTATCCTGGAAATTTCTTGTTTATCCTTTTTAGTTTTTACTGAATACAAAATTATGAAATCGGTCCTCGGGCTTTAAAAAGGCTTGTGTTGGTGGAATTAGGAGAATAGGCCCAAGTCACAAAAATATATACAAGTTTTCCACATAAATAAAACAATTTCCAAACAAAAAAAAAACCTGTGAAATATAAATTGAATTCAAATATTGATATGTGAAGAAAAGGAGTGTGCTGAATATGATGGAGATAACAGAGTAATAACCATGTCGGAAGCATCTTGTCTTGCTTCTCCTTTTCTCTACAGTAAGAAGAACTCTTGTTACTTATGTCCAATTTAGTTCCAAAACCCCAAAGTGAAATGTTTTGTGTTTTTTTTGGTGCAGCCAATTCTGGAATCCATTCTGATTCTTTCTACGCTTCGCTGATTGATAGTTCCACTCATAAAGCTCAGTTGAGGCAAATTCACGCACGTTTATTGGTTCTGGGTTTGCAGTTCAGTGGTTTCTTGATCACCAAGCTCATTCACGCTAGCTCTTCCTATGGTGACATTACTTTTGCACGCCAGGTGTTCGACGATTTACCTCGTCCTCAAGTATTCCCCTGGAATGCTATTATCAGGGGTTATTCGAGAAACAATCACTTCCAAGATGCTCTTCTTATGTATTCCAAGATGCAACTCGCTCGTGTTTCTCCTGATTCTTTCACTTTCCCTCATCTTCTTAAAGCTTGCGGCGGTTTGTCTCACCTTCAGATGGGTAGATTTGTTCATGCTCAGGTGTTCAGGCTTGGATTTGAAGCGGATGTGTTTGTTCAGAATGGTCTCATTGCCTTGTATGCGAAATGTAGGCGTTTGGGATGTGCGAGAACTGTATTTGAAGGACTGCCATTGCCAGAGAGGACGATTGTCTCATGGACGGCTATCGTTTCTGCTTATGCTCAGAACGGTGAGCCTGTGGAGGCTCTTGAGATTTTCAGTCAGATGAGGAAGATGGATGTGAAGCCTGACTGTGTAGCTCTTGTCAGCGTTCTCAATGCTTTCACTTGCTTGCAGGATTTGGAGCAAGGGAGATCTATTCATGCTTCTGTTATGAAGATGGGTCTTGAAACAGAGCCTGACTTGCTCATCTCTCTCAACACCATGTATGCAAAATGTGGCCAAGTAGCAACCGCCAAGATTCTGTTTGATAAGATGAAGTCACCTAACCTGATTTTGTGGAACGCCATGATCTCTGGCTATGCGAAGAACGGTTTTGCCAAGGATGCTATTGATTTGTTTCATGAGATGATCAATAAAGATGTCAGACCTGACACCATCTCTATAACATCTGCCATTTCAGCTTGCGCTCAAGTAGGTTCTCTTGAGCAGGCCCGCTGGATGGATGAATATGTAAGCAGGAGTGACTACAGGGATGACGTTTTCATAAGCAGCGCTTTAATCGATATGTTTGCTAAATGCGGAAGTGTAGAGTGCGCAAGATCAGTTTTTGACCGAACACTTGACAGGGATGTTGTGGTGTGGAGTGCTATGATTGTCGGGTATGGATTGCACGGGCAGGCAAGAGAAGCAATCAGTCTGTACCGTGCAATGGAGCGTGATGGAGTACATCCCAATGACGTCACTTTTCTGGGGCTTCTCATAGCCTGTAACCATTCAGGCATGGTAAGAGAAGGCTGGTGGTTTTTCAACCGGATGGCGGATCACAAAATAAATCCGCAACAGCAACACTATGCATGCATCATTGATCTACTTGGTCGTGCTGGTCATCTAGATCAAGCTTATGAAGTGATCAAATGCATGCCGGTCCAGCCCGGTGTAACGGTTTGGGGAGCACTTCTAAGCGCTTGCAAAAAGCATCGCCACGTTGAACTGGGAAAATACGCAGCTCAGCAGCTATTCTCAATAGACCCATCCAACACAGGCCACTATGTGCAGCTCTCTAATCTGTATGCTGCAGCGCGTTTGTGGGACCGTGTTGCAGAGGTGCGAGTGAGGATGAAGGAGAAAGGATTGAACAAAGACGTTGGATGTAGCTGGGTTGAAGTAAGGGGAAGGTTGGAGGGTTTCAGAGTGGGTGATAAATCACATCCAAGATACGAAGAGATAGAGAGACAAGTAGAGTGGATAGAGAGTAGACTGAAGGAAGGTGGATTTGTGGCTAACAAGGATGCTTCATTGCACGATCTCAACGATGAAGAAGCTGAAGAGACTCTGTGCAGCCACAGCGAGAGGATCACAATTGCATATGGGCTTATAAGTACACCCCAAGGGACAACACTGCGGATCACAAAGAATCTGAGAGCATGCGTGAACTGTCATGCCGCTACAAAGCTTATCTCGAAGCTTGTGGGCAGAGAGATTGTTGTGAGAGACACAAATAGGTTCCACCATTTTAAGGATGGAGTTTGTTCGTGTGGTGATTATTGGTAACAGATAGAAGAGCAAGTTGTTGGTTTCATTACTGTAAAAACTAGATTAGTCTTAAAGTTGAAAAGCTTACTTATTTAATCATCAATTTCAAGATTCTGACAAGAAACACAATAGAAATCTGTAAGATAAGTCTATTAAAATAATGAGAATAAAGGAACATTGTAAAATAGAGCTGATTACTTCTCCCAGTTGGCTGGTCACTTCTCAACGACATTCTTGTCATACAAATACTCAACGAATTCATCAATGAGGTAAGGCCATGCTCCTTCAGCATCGTAATTCGACAGCACCGGGTCGACCGTCTGCATCACAAAATATTGTCTCAATCCATATATCAACGCTAAGCCATAGTTTCAATCAATGTAAGCTCAATGATACAACTGTATCTAGTTTTTCTCTTACCCTTGCAAATTCCAGGAGCTGTGCCCATGTGTCCTTAGATATGGCCTTGTTATGACGATCCTGATTTTGGGAAACAAAATTGTATCAGAAGTAACAAATATGATAGAACATGCCTTGATGATATATTATACTCAGTATTTACCTGCAAGAAATCACACCAGTGAGTTACCAATGGCCAGTCTCTTTCTGCAAAGAGCAACTGCCACATCCCAATCGCTGTGTCTAAGGCAAGAGATTTCTGCCCCTGAAACATTTTACAGTTATACTATTTGTCACTAATCCAGAGAAAAACAACATCTTCTAAAAGCAACTACTTCAAATCAAGCTTTCACCTTCTCTTTCGCCCACCCAAAAGCAAAGTTGTATATATCATGGAACTTTTCTGAACAAGATAAAAGCACAGGAAGAACATTACACATATGTCAGCTAACATGGGACAATCCATCAATCAATTCGTAAACCAGATAAAGAATGGCCACTCAATTTTATCCTTACGTTCATCTTTAAGCTCAGAACGCATAAATGGCAGCTTTTCGTGCAACTTCCCGATTGAATCTACACTGCCATCATAAAATTGGGTCTTAGAACTTCACATCAAAAGACCCTTGATCGGGTCAAAACATTACAAAAATTGAAAAGACTAGTTCACTCACCCTAATGCCTGTAATCCACTGATAAATTCTTGCCTGGAAAATTCACACGCTGTGGCAGCATTCATATGCCACGAAAGAACCAACTGAAATTCAAGTGGAGTAAGAACCCATTTAACCAAAAGTCCAGAAGATGAGAAAAAAAACTCAGTGCAACCAGTGAGAAACCAACGAGTTTAACTCATAATAGGTAGTTGTAGGAAAAGTTTTAGATTAAACATTACCGTGACTATGTCTTGGGGTTCCACCTGAAGAAAAATTCAAGACAGTTATTATTAATGTAAAACAAACAGCATCATTCTTAAGCATTATTCAAGAAAATTAAATACCTCAAGATCATTACACAGAACCGAGATACCCTCCGCTAGAATCATATCAGAATACGGGTCTGTGCAAAACGTAACATGTCATTTCTAAAGCAAATGATACTAAACGTGGCTTTGATAAACTCAAAAGAGTAACAACAAGAAGCTTGCCTTTATATCTATTGTAGAGTTCCTCCAAGCGTCTTACATCAGCAGCATTGCTTCTTGGTTGGGGCTGGCTGTAAAACACATCAAACGCTGCTTCAAGGTGCCAATCACTAGCTTTGAGAGCCTGAAGAGCATTCTTCTCGCTGCCCACATTATTAAACCAAAAGAAAAACCAATTCAAATTCCTGTTTTGGCCTAATAACAACAAATCTACAGTGATAAGACTTGCTCTTTGGAGATAGATCCAGTTACCTAGCTCCAGTTATAGCCACGAACTGCTGAAGTTTGTCACGGTTGCTTCTACTCAACTTATGCTACAGAAACAAAACCAATCATATGATTATAAATACTCACAAAGATGTCGATAATCTCACTGAAATCGCAAAATTAAGGAGCCTTGCACGTTTCTATTCAACTTGAAATGAAACTCTAAATAGCAAAAAAAGCAAAGACGCCATAAGAGGATCCGTAAACCCAAAGCAGAGGAAATAAAAGTAGGAGGAGGAGAAAGCGCGTACCATCGTGAAGAAGAATCCAGAAGCCAAGACACAAAACCCTAACAAGGTAATCGAAGAAAGAGACGTCGTTGTTTGCTATCTATCTCTCTACCTATTCGCCGTCGCGAAGCAAAGGAGGTGTGAGAGGAGAGGAGTGAGTGACTCAGGGAAGACTCGAGAGAGAGTCTCTCACGATTGCTTCTTCTACTTTCCTCTCTCTCTCTCTCTCTCTCTCCGCCTCTCTCTTTCTTCAATGCAACTTTTTACTTTTCTTTCTTAAAATTATGGAATGACTCCGGTTCGCCAAACCGGTTTATTTGGTCAAATTAGTTCTATCTTTTGCTAGTTTATCAGCTGGGAGATTATTATATATGTACCTTTTTTTTTTTTTTTTTTTTTTGTCAAAGTTTTATATATGTACCTTATAGTTTATAAAAACATGATTTTGGTAGATGATTTGATACAGTTTAATTCAATTGGTCATACAAAGTGATGATATGAATCTTTTTTGACATCAGTTATATAATCTTTTTTGGCGGGAAGAAATAACGGTAAACGATATCAAAATACTTAAAAATGGTAAAAAGTAGTAGTAGAAGATAATGATATAAAAAAATAAAAATACCGTTTTTGGTATAGCTTTTTAATACGGTTTTATGATTAGTAATTATTAAATCGGTAAATCATATATTGTAGTGGTATAAAATTACTGATCAAAGATTAAAAAAAGAAAAAAAATGTCTTAAATACACTAAAAATTAATTAGGTGTATATATAGCAAAATAAATAATATTTTGATTCATTTGTTAGTTGATATCACAATTTGCCTAGTCATGTTAAAATCAATAGGCAGTGCACATGTAGATGTTTGTGGACGATTGCTGCGAAAGATTTTTCATAGAAATAAAATAAAAAATTCAATTTTATTTATAACGAAATATTATTATTTTCTAGTGAACAATTTTAGGGATAAAAAGTTAAATAATTGAGTGAAGCTTGATCAAACTTTGATGCTTTTCGAATTAGTTCTGTCCGATTTCTTTGCTTATGAAAATTCAACAATTGTTTTCTCAAACGTCTGTCTGTATATCTTATTTATAGTTCAGAGTTTAAAGACTATAATAAACCAGGATATAAAAAGGTCAAAATCATTTAGGTTCAGGTAACCATCACACTCAAGTAGCGATGGTGAAATCTAAATTTGAAACACGTGGTTTGATTGGGCCAGCATTATCCACCCATCCCACCTGGAGAGGACGATGAGACCATCGTAAATTTCTTGCAGCCAAAAGTAAATTAACAAATCAAATTAAAACCACTCTTCTCACGGCTCACATAGTAACATGACGACATCCTGTCTTCACATTTACTTTCTACTTAAAAAGTCTTCACATTTTCAATTCATAGACATATATTTTGCTTTCCATAAAGTGAAAAGAGATGTGCTAACCTTGACAACTAATAATAATTACAAGGATTAGCATACACAACTAATCTCTTTTCCATTCTTTTAGTATAATTTATTCAGCATACCAAAAAAAAAAGTATAATTTATTCATTGTACAATGGTTCCATTCAATGCCTACCTAAAAAAAAACAATACACTAGTACGTTTAAGACCAATAATGTTCCAAACTCAATTGGTCTCTATGCTTTTTCCTTAGTTATCTATCTTTGAATTGTCGTCGTAGTTTTATTATTGTATCTCAAAAATGTATAAATAGATAAGTAATGATTAGAAGAGATCGAAAGGGCGTCTTATTTGAGCCATCCATAGACTACAATCTAAGATACTTGCGGAATTTCTTGTACTAACCAATGAATTCTTTCGCAGCCTTTTTCCGTAAATGTTCCCATCTATTTTATCTAGTCTTTGTACTTAGTGTTATACAATAATAACAGAATTTTAAATTCTTTTTGTGCGTGACTAACAAAGAAATGTGTATAGTGGTCAACTCTACGTAACTAGAGATTCTGCTATGAACATTTATGGACCACTCGCTTCAAAATAAAGTTGAGGTTCTCTCTCGCTTTCTCTCTATAAAAAGCTTCTCTTTCTTCCCCATAACTCTTCACACTTTACTTTCTTACAGAACAAGAACACAAATATCTTAAACTCATGTCTGAATGTGGCTACTTTTCAGCAACAACTATGTTGAGAATTTGTGTAGTCTTAATAATATGTTTACATATGTGTTGTGCCTCGAGTGATTGTACAAGCCACGATGATCCTGTGTCTCAAGACGAAGCAGAGAAAGCGACGAAGCTGAAGCTTGGTTCGATCGCTTTACTTCTTGTGGCCGGAGGAGTCGGCGTGAGTCTACCGTTGATCGGGAAAAGGATTCCGGCGTTACAACCGGAAAACGATATCTTCTTCATGGTGAAAGCTTTTGCTGCAGGGGTGATCCTCTGCACAGGTTTCGTTCATATCTTACCAGACGCGTTCGAGAGATTGAGCTCTCCATGTCTCCAGGACACTACAGCTGGAAAGTTCCCGTTTGCGGGTTTCGTAGCGATGCTGTCGGCGATGGGGACTCTTATGATCGACACATTCGCGACAGGGTATTACAAGAGGCAGCATTTTAACAGTAACAGTGGGAGCAAGCAAGTGAACGTAGTCGTAGACGAAGAAGAACATGCGGGTCATGTTCACGTTCACACGCACGCGAGTCACGGACACACACATGGCTCGACCGAGTTGATCAGAAAACGCATAGTGTCACAGGTACTTGAGATTGGGATAGTTGTGCATTCGGTTATAATAGGGATATCACTTGGAGCTTCACAGAGCATAGACACCATAAAGCCACTCATGGCTGCACTCTCTTTCCATCAGTTCTTTGAAGGTCTTGGCCTCGGTGGATGCATCTCCATGGTTAGTCTCTTCCACGATTCTTTACTTTCTATTAATCACTTCATGTCGTTTGGTTTAGTCGTTTAGACAAAGCTCTTACTGTCATAGGTGGCAGTAGCTTAGCTTAGGCGAATCCTGTCACAACAATCATTTTTTTCTTCATTATTCAAAAGTCAATTGATTGATGATAGCATGATGATCAAGTTGTGTGACTGAATAGGCGGAGATGAAGTCGAAATCGACAGTGATAATGGCGACATTTTTCTCAGTGACAGCGCCACTTGGGATAGGAATAGGGTTGGGGATGTCGAGTGGTTTTGGGTACAGGAAAGAGAGCAAAGAGGCAATAATGGTGGAAGGAATGTTGAATGCTGCATCTGCTGGGATACTCATTTACATGTCACTTGTTGATCTTCTTGCTCCTGATTTTATGAATCCAAGATTGCAATCCAATCTCTGGCTTCACTTGGCCGCTTATCTATCTCTCGTCCTAGGCGCTGCTTCCATGTCTCTCCTCGCCATCTGGGCCTGATTCTTGAGCTGCAACTAACAAACAAACAAACCAAATGCCGCTCTTTTTTCTCGAATCTGTAATGGTGTGTCTAATCTTGGAATCAATACTATTCTATTTTGAACACAATGATTGCCTTTGCTAGATACAAACAATAGTTAAAGGCAGAGAGGCCAGCTAATAAATCCGCATCGAGGGACTGCTTTTTCCGGAGAAAAAGAGAAAAGGTAAAGAGCATGATAGGAAGCCAATAATCATTCTATGTAATGAGCACCTTCCAACTGTAACATTATACATACATTTCACATCTATATTAAAGAAAAAAAAATCATCGCTCTCAGTTTTGGATGAAATTACAACCACGGATAAGTAGATTTATACACGCAGGTAATGCAGTCATTTGTTTACCGACCTCCAGGAATTCTGTTCCACGACAAGTAGGTAGGATCACCGAGTCGCCTGCAGAAACCCCACACCACACCAAATCAACATCTATCTACATGAGTAATACATTTAAAAGGCCAAGGATAAGCTACAAACCTGGGTTTCACAAGATACATGACGGTAAATGCAAGTGCCAAGAAGAAACAGATTCCCCCAACAGTGAGGTAAGCAATGCCGAGGAAGTCGTTCTTTCCACCAAGCCAACTTGTTGTTGACAGAACAAGCTTCTTCTTCCCACTGAAACTGTATGTGTTGTAGTTGTTCTGCAGAGTCACTTGTATGTTATCACCCTTCTCCAAGTCACTCTCTATCTTCCCGTATAATTTTCTAAATGTTGGCAATGCTGCAGTCCTCATCCACACGATCAGATCCTCTTGGTCACTCAACTGAAAGAGATAGAGAGAAAGGGAGACAAAGTTAAGTGTTTTGCAAAGGATATGACTGGGCCTAAGACTGTACTGTGGTATTAAGGGCTTACTGATATATTTGGATCTAGAATGGCACCACCAGTGAGATTGCCCTTCTGAAAGTTCTTGGGAAACACCCTTTTCCCAAACTTGTGTTCCCTGTCACTCTTCCATGCGATTCCTTTCTTGTTTACCGCTAAACGCTGGTTATTTCTTGATAGAGCGTATGTGTCATTAAAGAGACTCCAAGCAATTAGACCACATGGCACAATTGGCAGCCCACCAACATCATCCTCAGGCTTGCATGCGTCTATTTGATTCTCATCTTTCACACTTCTCAATTGTGAATCACTTCGGCTTTTCACATACCTATGATATCAATAAATAGCAATGCCAGAAATATATGAGGAATCTATAGTGAACATTTCTTTCCTTGCACCGAACTACTTTGTGATATCAATGTAGCGGTAGCGGTTTAATCTAGGTCTAACACTAAAACCCCATACAAATATAAAGCATTACCACGAAGGTAGAGGTTCTCAACAATACCTGCGGTGATTCTGGTAGAAGTTCTCAAGCTGGTAATATACGTAGATAGGCTGCTTCATACGCTTAGGCACCTGAAAACACCCAAAGAGAAAAGAGAAAGTAAACAAAAAACATTCAAAGGCTAATAAAATCTCCAAGAACGAAACACATGCATATGGAACTCACTATTAGCGTCCGGGTACAAGATTTATTTGCAGCTCCTTGAATGTATGCAACCTTGTTAGCCTGATCAGGTGGAGGTACGCATGCACTATCATACCGATCAACGATCTCAACAACCTACGCATGAGAGTTGAAACATGTGACATAAAAAACCATTAAACGAAGAGCAGCACTGGATCGATCATGGTCACTTACATCCTGAGAAGCAAAGAGAGAAATAACTCCAAGGGGAATGAAGATAACACTAATGATCAAAAATGTTGAAATCACCTGCAGAAAAAAGAGTAAATTAGATAGCGTTTCAAAGAAAAAACTAGAGAATCAAACATGAGTTAAATATGAAGAGAAGCTTACCCAACCAGGCGTAAGAATTGGCTTGCAAGCTGGAAGCTCCTGCTGTGTAAATTTCGAATCTGCAGATCAAACAAGTTTTAGCTATAGCACTCTCGATTCCTAGCTAAAATCCCAACTAAAAATCAATACACACTAAAGACACAGCGAATACTAAATCTAGCAGACGAGAATCGAGAGGAAGATGACGAAGAGGGAAAGAAAAAATACACTTGGGTCGTTTGGAGTTTCTCCGGGCAGCGGAGGAATCTACCGATCCGGCAGCGGCGGCGGCGCTAGAAGATGGCGTATTAGTAGAAGACATAGCTGATAGGAGATCTCTGTGTGGTGAATGGGGGAGAAGGAAATAGAGAAAAGCAGAAGGAGGCTATATTAGAGGAAGAGAATGGTCGTCGTAGTCGTCAACGGCGGCTGGTAAGACCCATTTCCATCGATCTAGAAGAAGAAGAGAAACCCCAAGATTGAAGTTTCGTAGGATGGATCGTGGCACTTGCCGATTGGTAAAGACGGTCCCTTTTTTTCTTTTTTCTTTTTTCAGAAGCTGAAAATACGAAAAATATTACGAAAATTAAAGCATGACCAATTCTTTGATTTTGTTATGGACTTATTATGGTCACAGCATGAGTATTAAATTAGGGAGAACAAAAGAAACAAAGAACAAGAAACCAAAAAAAAAAAAAAAAAGATCTATCCGCTCAATTGCTAAATTTATTTTAATGAATTGATGATGTGGGAGGACTATATAGAGTTGTCAATAAAATTGAAAAATCTATGCATGGCAAACGACAAAAACGTCTGTTTAAAGAGCATGTTTATCCCTGATATTTGATGGATATCAGTTAGGCCTGGACATAAACTCCGAAATCCAAAAATCGATCCGAAACCGATCCGAAAAATCCAGTTCCGAATCCGAACAGAATAGTTACAAAATCCAAACGGATAATGAATTCTCCTATCCGAATTATCCGAACCGAATCTGATCCGAACCAAAAACCGAAAAGATATCCGAAAACCGAAAATAAAATTATATATCCAAAAATATTAGTTATATTTAGCTATAATTTTATAACAAATAACAAAAATATCCTAAATAACCTAGATATCGGAAAGTTTTTAGTTATATTTGTTAAAATTATACATATTTTTGGAAATTTAGCCAAATTTTAGTAAAGATTAATCTATTTTTTATTTAAAATGAACATTTTTTTAGTTTCTTTTTACTCAAAAAAAATCCAAAACCGATCCGAATCCGATACTATCCGAACCGACCCGATCCGAATAGTCATAAAATCCGAACGGATAATAAAATCTCCTATCCGAATTATCCGAATCCGAATAAATCCGAACCGAATCCGATCCGAAATCCCAGGCCTACTATCACCCCATGAAAAATATTAAAAAAAATTCATTTTGGGTTGAGACTGGGTTGAAACGGATCACTCAGGTGAGTCTTCTGAGTCAGTATCAAGTGGCCATGTGTCACGTTTTGAGTGGGCCAAAAAAAATTTAGGGGAAAAAAAAACTCTCTCATTTTCGTAAAAAAAAAATACTAATTTATTTTAGTGATACCCATTAAGTTTCACCATTAAACATACAAATTTAACAAAAATCTTACTGAGTATCATAGATTAAACAACTAATTAAATTAATACTAAAAATGCTAATGATACTCATTTGGTTTATGGATAAACATGCTCTTAGGACGCGGAGATAATAGATAGCGACCAAATAATAGGGCTCAAACTAATTGGGCCTTTAATATAAATTGGGCTTGAACTGCTTTGAAAAGGGCCGGCGCTTTATTCATCGGTCCAATATTTGTAGTGCTTTGTATCTTACTTAAGCTGGATCAAGACAAGTCTGCTTCACATTGGTTTGATACACACAGTCTTCTGTGAGTTGAACCATCATGAGTCATGAGTGGTGTCTGATATGAAAGGGAATAGATTCATCTGTAGAGGAATAATATAAGGAAAATCCATAAAATAAAGGAGACTAGAAGCTGCTTAAAAATTAAGCAAACAATACAAATACTTTCTTCCTTTTTTTCTTTTCTTTCTTCCAACTTCTGATTCCTATTTGCATACATATAACTTAATTGATGAACTAAAAGTTAAACATCAGCTTTGTTCCACTTGTCATCTTTATTGAAAGGTACAAAGCACACGAATCTTTTCATCTAGATCAATTAAACAGATTTTAAAACAAATATGATGCTTTTGTTCCTTATTCCCATGCATTTGCATATTTCTAAATGAAAAAGTAATTTCGTATCGTATGAATGTGTAAGGCCACATGCGTCAATACATTGGAAATAGAAGGAGTTGGACGTATAAATTTGGATTTTTTGGTATTTAGACATGTGTGGATGCAAAAAAGCTTGCATGGTTTACAACTTCAAAGCCTAAACCCTACTGCATATATAGATATGTCTCCCATTATTTTCATATATTAAAAATTATTTTATGTCAATATCACTCCATAATTTATACTTCAAAATTTGCAAGACCTCGTGTGTTCCTTTTTCCATCTTTCATAAATACTAATATTCTCTTGTTGAATAGAGCATCATCAATCAGCATTTAATTTGTTAGTTGAATGATGCAGTCGAGAGATGAGATGAGAGATGAGTCATCATCAGGTCTCGTCCTCACCACTGACCCTAAGCCTCGCCTTCGCTGGACCACTGAGCTTCATGAACGCTTCGTTGACGCCGTCACTCACCTTGGAGGCCCTGACAGTACGTTTAATTTCCATAATCATCATAAATCTCTCTCTCTCTATATAAACTTCAGAGCTATATTAATTGTGATATATGTGAGCAGAGGCTACACCAAAGACGATAATGAGAGTAATGGGTGTGAAGGGTCTCACGCTTTATCATCTCAAGAGCCATCTCCAGGTCTATACTCTCTTCCTTCTTTTCATTTTTCTTCTTGGTTTCTACTTTTGCCGTAGTTAGGATTTAAAATATATGTGTGTGTTTCAACTACAGAAGTTCAGACTTGGAAAGCAGCCTCACAAGGAGCATAGTCAAAATCACTCCATTAGTATTAGAGACACAAATAGAGGTCGGTCATAATTCATCAACCTTAATACCATATATGTTGGTTGATTCATTTGTAAATGCAACATCATGCATGCAGCTTCCATGTTGGATCTTCGAAGGAATGGTGTATTCACGACTAATCCGCTGATCATTGGTCGCAATATGAACGAGTACGCCCTTTCAATTCCAAGTCTTAACTATATTGATTCAAATATATTACACAAAATCTTATAATATAAAAATGGTAATTATATATGGATGGTGATGAAGGATGCAAATGGAGGTGCAAAGAAGGATAGAGGAAGAAGTAGAAATAGAAAGACAGGTGAATCAAAGGATAGAAGCACAAGGGAAATACATGGAGAGCATATTAGAAAAAGCATGTGAAACCCAAGAAGCAAGCCTCACTAAAGACTACTCTACTCTCTTTTTCGACCGCACCAATATTTGTAACAACACATCGTCCATCCCAATCCCATGGTTCGAGGATCATTTTCCTTCCTCTTCCTCCATGGACTCTGCGTTGATTCTCCCTGACATCAATTCCAATTTCTCCCTGCAAGATTCTTGGAGTTCGATCACAAAGGGTCGTACGGTTTGTCTCGGTTAGAGAAGACATATATAGATCTAGCTATTTGACTCTTTGTACTCTAGTTTCTAATGCGCACTTTGGTGTATAAATTGCACAAATTTACTTGTAATAACTACTGCCAAACATGAAGTCTCCGTTATTCCCTTGGTATTTAAATGCAGTGATGTGCAACGTGTGGTGAAGTATGCTGCCTCAGCCCGCAAGGTGGTGGGCGAGTGGTAGGGCGAGTCCGGAGTTGAGGGTGAAATCCCCGAACCCGGGTTCGATCTTCCTCCCTCGCTGTTATCAACACTTTGTTGGGAAGTCTAGGCTTGGGCTTCGGCCCAGGCAGTTTACCTGGTAGTCTGGTAACAGGCGATCCAGCTACCCCCGGGTATTAGTCGGAAAGCATTCCAAACTCGGTTCAGGCAGTGTGGTAGCCCATCCTTCGGGGTGGTAGTGAGTCCACTCTGTAGCACTCCGATGCGTTCCTACCGAGGCTGACCGGATCAGCCGATCGGGTATATCAAAAAAAAAAAAGTATGCTGCCTCATGAATATCACAATTCTTGTGTGTTTTTTTTTTTTTTTGATCAAATTCTTGTGTGTTTATTATATATGTGTTCACAGTTCATTTGCACAATGATATATACGATCCTTCTCACAACATAATTTCTTACTTTTTGTTCTTTCGATAGGGGTGTTTTTTCTTCTTTCTGAAAGCCATGATATTTGAGTTATATTTTTTTAAGTCACATCCATTTACATGCAAAATCTCCACGGTCAATTTTTGTTAAAAAAAAAGTCTACATGCACAATTATAACCGATCAATCTTACGTCTATCTATCTAGTCACTTTTCTAGCCATCATCAGTCATCACCAGCCACCGATACTGTTCTGTTCATTTCCGCCAGTCTTAAATAAAATATCGCTGCACTTGCAGGCTTTTGTGAAATTTTGCCATTTCCTGGAATTATTGAAAATTTGCATTTGTCCACATTCTGATAATTTTTGTAATAGTGTGCAATAATTGAAATTAGGGCCAAAAGCCTAAAACTAGAAAAGCCCATTTACTATATCAGGTCCTATACCATAAATAGTTCATAGACCAGCTAGAGAGTCTGGTAATGTTGTATTCTCAAGTCTCAAGTCTCAAGTCTCAAATCTCAAGTATGTCTGTCGACGAGTCAATGGAAGTCTTGTGGATCTGAAACGGTCAAAAATGGATGTAATTTTTTAATCTTTTGTAAGGACTGGTACATAACTTAAAGATAAGATTGGACGATGGAGTAAATGTGTTGTTTGTTTTCTCTCACACTTCATCAGTTTTCAGATCTTTGTTACTATTCGTTGTTTCTCACCTTTTCTTTCCAACAAAAATGTAATTACATGGCTCGTTTTTACATTTAGCAACATATGCAAGTTGTCAAGTTCGTCTCGTTCTAAGAATTTTTTATATACCATTTAAGCTGAAATATAAGAAAGTTTTTTAAAAATGTGGTCTACAAAATATATATAAACCCCAAAAATTAATCGTTAAACAAAAAAAAAATCCAAATCACAATGTTTATCATGTTGAATAATGTAAATTAAACTGCGAACTAAACATTTGGTGGTAGTGAAAAAAAAAAAATCTTGAACCAAGAAAGACAAACCCAGAAAAGAGCCAGCTACGTATAGAGAGCTTCTTAGTTACTACTCCGACAACTAAATCATGTACGTGTCTCTTGCAACTCATGAATCATATGATTACCCAGTTATTGTATGTTTACAAAAATGAATTTTGTTACATCATTCTGACTTCATGATGTCAAATTAATACCAGAATGGCCCAACAATTGCCTCTTCCTTCTATAATTTTATATTTTTCTATAGAAAATAGAGTACGAAGTGGTCTATTCCATCAGTTTACCCATGGCTAGGGTTTATCAATATAGAAATATTTTAAATGCAAGAAAAAAAAGACCGAAAGAGAGGACTACGTTATATTAATGGAAACTAAAACAAGTGTATAGTTAAATATACGAAGCTTCATCTACACAAAGATTTTTACATAATACGGTAATTAACAGCGACGGATTTATATTATTATGTTAATTAACCGCTTTCTCCCCACATATTAGTTTATTCTTACGTTTAACTTGACGGGTTCAAATAAACGTTGCGTTGTAGAACTATCTCGCCATATATATTAAAGCTTGACACGTACGTGGCTTACTTAAGAGGAATTGTTATTCGGAAGCTCCAGGGAATGATCCAATTTTTAGTAGTTGAGATTAGGTCTGAATTTTATGCAATCGTGCTCCCTACTTTACCTCTAATTTTAAGTTTTTAACTAATTTGTTAGTAAATGAGTCGTATGTACGGATGGCAATACTATATATGATTCCTAATATCCAAAATTAAGTGCTCGCTCGCGTCTACGACTGTCAACAAGCCATTTGCAGAAAAGTCTCCCATGATGACCATAAAAGTAGCCTGCTGGGACTAATTTGTTCATATTGAGTTCTACGTTACAACATCCCCAAGTTATCATTGTGGTTTATTGGTTGAAGGTTCCATTCTAGATTAGAATTCGAGTTTTTTTATATCCTGATTTCAATCATGATTGATATGATTTAAAGAATACTTAACTTTTCTATAGACTCCGGAAATTTGTTTGTGTTTAGTCTAAAGTCTTTCCTAGATTAAAAGAAAAAAAAATGATCTAATTGTTTAGACACGGGTTCTAAAATTTTACTACTGCCAAAAAGAAAAAGAGTAGCATAAAGATTTATAGTAGCTTTTTTCGAATCAAGGAAGAAAAAAATTATGACCTGTATATACTCAATGGCATTTGACCATATATATGTGTTATATAACTTTTTTGTTGTGTGTTATATAACTTATACGTGAAGGGGTAATAAAACCCAACGAGTCATTCAATATCTAACATAACGTAATTAATGATCCGAGGATAATAACTTGTATTTTATTCTACTATTTTTCTTACCAATGTTCCGAAATATTGTGAAGTCTAGTAGACAACAAGTCATGCGTGAAAAAAAAAGAAAGTAATGAGTGTCCTAGTTAAAGCATATACTAGTATATAAGATCATTAAACCATTGCATTAAACTAAACTGATAATTACAGGATTCCAAGCATGCAATGTATGGCAATAACTAGAAACACAAGTTAACAAGATACTGTACATAGATGATTTTGTTAAGGAAAGTGACGTGAACTACTGGTGTCTCTAATCAGGCTTCCATTTGAAGACACACAGAGAAAAAAGGGAAACGACACAAGTTTGGTTAATCATATATAGTAGATATATTAATTCTCCCAAGAAAGATATTAGTACTGATAAGGGAAAATTAATCAAATAGTGACGACCCTGGTCCCTGCTGGTTAATTAACACCAAGAGACCTTGTAATATATAAACCAGGAAGATGAGAGAGAAATGGGAAACGAAAAGAGATGAAATGGGACATCGATGCTGTGGAAAACACAAAGTGAAGAGAGGGCTTTGGTCTCCAGAGGAAGACGAGAAGCTTCTTCGTTATATCACCACTCATGGTCATCCTAGTTGGAGTTCCGTTCCAAAGCTTGCCGGTTTTGTGTCTTTTATCTCTAACTCTCTCTTTTTTTTTCAACTTTTTTTTTTAGTCTAACATAAATTATGTCCTTGTGAGTAATAATAAGCTTTCAATTCAAAAAACTTATTAGCTTAGCCTATTTTATTTGAATACTATAATTTCAATGTGGATTCCTAACGTTACATATGTGTGTATATAGGGTTGCAGAGATGTGGGAAGAGTTGCAGATTAAGGTGGATAAACTATCTAAGGCCTGATCTGAAAAGAGGTACGTTTAACGCGGAGGAAGAGCAGATTATCATCGATGTACATCGTATTCTCGGTAACAAATGGGCTCAAATTGCTAAGCACTTACCTGGACGCACTGATAATGAAGTCAAGAACTTTTGGAACTCATGCATTAAGAAGAAGCTTCTTTCTCAAGGCTTAGATCCTTCTACACATAATCTTATGCCTTCACACAAAAGATCTTCTTCTTCTAATCATAATAATATTCCCAAGCCAAACAAAACGACGTCCATCATGAAGAACCCTACTGATCTTGATCAATCAACCACTGCTTTTTTAATCACAAACATCAATCCTCCTACTTCCACTAAACCAAACAGACTTAAATCTCCTAACCAGACTCCAATCCCATCTCAAACCATGATCCCTATCAATGATACCATGTCAAGTCTTTTAGATGATGAGAATATGATTCCTAATTGGTCAGATGTTGATGGAACGGCGATCCACGAAGCTCCGATGTTGCCGGCTGATAAGGCAGTAGTGGGAGTGGATGATGATGATCTCAACATGGACATTTTGTTTAATACTCCCTCTTCTTCTGCTTTTGATCCTGATTTTGCTTCCATTTTCTCCTCTGCAATGTCTATCGATTTCAACCCCATGGATGATCTTGGTAGCTGGACCTTTTAGCTTTTACTCTACAATATTTTCATTTTCTCAATTGTATATATATATGAATAATTGCCACTTTCTGCTTTTCACTAGTTTTGAAAAGCTGAGATTTTTCCAAATCAGTGTATCATTTTTTCCCCATTAATCCCACCAAGTGTAGACTTTGTAATGTGCAAATTTAAGTTTTCACGTATTTTACTTTAGGCTTCAATATCGCCTATTTAATTTATATTTGGGCAACGCACCAAATGGGCTAAGTATGTTGAAATATGGGTGTAAAATTCGTACCAATAAACAAAGTAGCCCAATAGAGGCCCAATAATCTTGCGTTCGCTATGATTGCTGAGACTACGACGATATTCCATTGATTGGTACGGAAACAAACAATAATGCTAGAAACTTCGTGGGAAGAGCGACGGCAATGAGGGAACATGTTACATTGCCACATGGTCTCACCCGTTACTACATTCTTCGAATTAAATTGTTGTCTTACACTTGTACATGAATATGCAGAGGTGTTGGAAAAAGTCAATTGTACTAATCAGAAGAAAAGATTCACAAAACGGAAATCCAATTATTACGTTCCGCGTTAGAAATATTGATTGAAATGAACAAAATGGATGAAGCAAACATAATAATCTCATGTATATTGAAATGATTGAGGAGCAAGCAACACGAAGACGACACCGAGGCATGTACATTTAGATTGAGAATAAAGGATATGTATTAAGTAGTGTTTATTATTATAGTATTGGTAATAATGTATATATAGGATAAGTGGAACCACATTGTCTGTCTCTTCTCTTATCTCCTTCGTCGTAAACACTTTAATTACTTGGGTTTGGTCCTTTAATTTCAAATTCACCCAATTTCGCTTCTTTTTTTTTCGTTCTACTTGTATAAATGTTAAAATTTGCATTCCATAGAAAATCTAATTGTACATGAAGAGATAAATTATATATGAAAAAGTAAATGAAACGAGAACGTTAGTAGATACGGTGACATACAATTGAAAGAAAAAACACACTTAAATCGTTGTTGACTAATATACAGTTATTCTTGTATAAAACAGAATTGCTTTTGGAAAATGTGGTTTTAATGTGTGTGATAACAATCACAAAAAGAAATGCTGCTAAAAAAATATAGGATACCAACCGAAAATATGACAAAAATATAGGAAAGCAGCCTAAAATAATACAAGAAAGAATATCGAAGTACCAAAAGAAAAGTAAACACAAATAGTTAGGGGAAGACTTAAAAGGTCACATGGGATGATTTGGTGGCATCATTGCATCAAATCCTGCACATGCTCTGCCTCTTCTCTTTTCTATATTCTTTCTCTTTATTTTATTTTTTTTGTTGTTACTTGTTGTCAATACTAATACAAAATTGATCCACACGGTTTTAATTTTAGAATAATGTTCACTTGGGAATAATGTTTACATATTATTAGTACCCATATAACTACTTTAATTTCAATTCTCTCTGCCTCTCACAGTTGATATATATATATACGTCCACAATCACTTCTCTTCTCTATTTCTCATCAATCATCATTATCATTATCTCAACCCTTCTCTATCTCTCTTACTACAACTTATCAGCATCCATCACCAAATATAGAGAATATGAGCAAAACCGAAGCAATAAGCTTGACCAAAAGGGGAATGTTGCCGCCAAGTAGTTGCAGTAGCCTAATGGACCGCTCTGAGTCCCTCAAGAGGGACAGTGTGATGAGCAATGGTGCAGCCAAAGTGAGAGGAAGCTTGGAGCGCAAGAAATCAAAGAGTTTTAAGGAAGGAGAAAGCTATTCTTCTTGGCTCATAACGGAGGCTCCTGGGAGTATAGCCGCCGTGAGGAGAGAGCAAGTGGCGGCACAACAAGCCCTAAGGAAGCTAAAGATTGCTCATTACGGCAGATCCAAATCAACCATTAATTTCACTTCTTCCAAAGTCGTCCCTCTTCTTCACCCTAACCCTAACCCTCATCCTCAGAGATGCAGCTTCCTCACCCCCACTTCTGGTATTTATAAACCCATTTATCTCTTTGTTACTTTTTTTTTTCTATTCGTCAATGTTAATTTTTGACATGATCTGTTTTTTTTTTTGTTTTTTTTTTTTTTTAAGTTTCACCTCCTTTCCATGCAAAATCAATTTGTAATGGCTGAATTAGCTTAAATCCCTCATATATCAGTTTAAGTTGTTTATTAAAAAAAAATGTTTCATCTTATAATATGTACATGGATTCCTAACGGATTTTTTTGGTTACCTTTAGATCCTATTTACGTGGCCTACCATGATGAAGAATGGGGAGTTCCAGTTCATGATGACAAGTGCGTGACATAATTAATACTTCTTTCCAAATAAAAACATGTCATTATATATTTTTTCATTTTGGTCAAAAATAAATTAATTTTGTTAATTTTCAGGACGTTGTTCGAACTGCTGACCCTAAGCGGCGCACAAGTAGGCTCCGATTGGACTTCAACCTTGAGAAAACGTCATGACTATAGGAAGGCTTTTATGGAGTTTGAGGCGGAAGCTGTTACCAAACTCACCGAGAAAGAGATGAATGCAATAAGCATCGAATACAAGATAGATATGAGCAAAGTGAGAGGTGTTGTGGAGAATGCTACAAAGATTGTCGAGATCAAGAAAGCGTTTGGGTCATTAGAGAAATACCTTTGGGGATTTGTGAACCACAAGCCCATCTCCACGAACTACAAGATGGGACACAAGATTCCGGTCAAGACATCGAAGTCGGAGAGCATAAGCAAAGACATGGTTCGTAGAGGCTTCCGGTTTGTGGGTCCCACTGTGGTTCACTCATTCATGCAAGCCGCTGGTCTTACTAACGACCACTTAATCACTTGCTGTCGCCACACTCCTTGCACTATCCTTGCTACCAATCCCTAATTATTAATTTTTAATTTTATTGAAAGTGTTGTTTTTATTTAACTTTCGAGTGCAAAATGTAGGTGTAGGAGAAAAGAGATTGCAGTTTTTTTTTAAATTGGCAATGTAAGATAAATTAGCTGGTTTTGTTTTTTTCTTGTGCGTGTGTGTGAGGTGTTTAAAATCACATGTATAATGGTTTTTGATGTATGTGTGGTGTGACAAATTGAAATAGTAATTGATTTTCATTGGATTTATCTGTTGTTCAAAAATTTGATAGGCTCGCAAAAGGCCAATTGATAAAAAATAAAACGGAACTTTGTTTTTCGTATTAGTGTAATCTTATATATGTTTACTTGGGTTTTTTTGTTTTTTTTTTGCTTAAATGTAAATATCATTATCAATGAAGTACATGTATTGAAAAACTTAGAACATAGAGTAATCCTGGCAAAAAAATTAAAGCAAGATTACAATAGAGTAACCTACAAAAAAAAAATTAGAACAGTTTTTTCCATTTTCCCAAAAACATATCGAAAATGTGTTTAAAGAGTTAAAAATAATTAATCGAACACCTAAAACAAATGTAGTTTTAACTTTTTCCAGTGATCAATTGGACAAAAATTTAACTTGCCGAATAATTTTGGCCGCCTAAACGACCAAATCTTAGAACATTTAAGTTAGCTGCCATGTATGACATTGAGGAGGTACATCCGTTCATGGGAAACTTGAGCATTCTTGGTTTTCATACATATAAATATTATACGATGGTCTATGATAGTAGTATTTTGTATCTTCATTTTTACTATTGAAAGAAGAGTAAGTAGTGATTGATTCTCGTAGAAGCAAATATCATGATGATGTAGCATGTGATGCTTCTCTGTCACCAATAATGATTGGATCATTTTAGTGGATGCCATGATGGGATTGGTCATTGGGTATGTGACAATGTGTTACCCCCCATTCCCCAACTTATTTCCCAATTCCACCCTTTTATTCTTTTCACAAGTTCCAACACCAACAACGCTCCTTCTTCACTCTCTTAATATACCATCTGGATATATTTTCCTTTAGAAGGTTTTAACTTGTGTGTGTGTGTGTTCAAGATGATGTGATCTTTAAGCAAAGATGGGTTATTTTTGGTACAAAACAGAGTATTCTACAAGTTTTACTAATGTTTAATAAGTGAGACAGAGTGGAAAAAGAAAAGAGAAAGAAAATATGCTTTGAGAAGAGTGCGCATGGGATTGAAACAGCGATGCAATCAGATTCCTTTTTTCAGAAGCAGCCTTGTTTGTCAGAAACTCAGAATGTAAACTTATTAGAACTGGGCTTATGAGCCCATTAGTGACGAATTTATCTTCTCTCTGTACAGCCCATTTAGCGGTATAATTGTGCCTTATCTGGCCCAATAATGACGAATCTTGTAATTTTGTAAAGACAGTGGATGCGATCGAACGATTTAGAAGATGATACGATGGATAGAGGTGTGTATTCGTTCTCCAGCTCAAAATATTGCAAGTTTTGACAACAAACATGTTTTTTATTCATTCACTAACAAAACAATATATATATATATTCCAATCAATCAAAGTAATAATAAACAGAAGAGAGATGGATAAGACAGCTAAGTGCAAGTAGAAGGAGCAAAAGACAAAGTTGAGGCCATAAGATCAAACTCCCACAAATAATTCTGCTGCATTATATTCCCGACCACATTAGTCGCCGGCGTTCCCGCTGACATAAATCCTAAACACTTGACTCCAGGCGCTGCATCTACTAGGTAACTTTTACGATGCGGCTCAAATCGTGCACCGCCTTTTAAATGAAACGTCAGCTGCGGTAACTTGCTCTCGTTGAACCCGGACGTGGAACTAAAACAGTACTCAATTGGTATTCCTTCTGGCTTGACTCTTTTCAACTCAACAAGGTAACGTGCGAGCCCTGTAACCACCGGTTTGTACGCGGCTTCAGCCAATAGCGTGAGGCTAGTTCCTGAGTCCAAGATAGTCCCACCACCGGTAGTTGCGTCCCATACTTGAGTGGGGATATCTAGCATGTCGTCTCCGATGGAGATTCCAATGATGTTGATTGCGTAGAAGGGTGGGATGAGAGTGAGATCAAGCGGGGTGGTTCGTCCGGGGGCGGTTTTGGTGGAGGTGGAGGAGGAGGAATAACCGAAAATGAGATAGTTGGAGATGTTTTTGTTGGAGAGGTGATCAACGAGGCAGTAGGACAATTTCGCACCGAAGAGACTAGTGGCTGTGGAAGTGAAAGAGAAATCGCTAAAGGCTAAACCAAGAACCCCATCGGCTCCTTGAAAGCTCTGTCCACTAAATGAACTACTACAACCAACGAGGAGACCGCGGAGTCTAGCCTTACGACCATTTGTGAGACCAACTGTGATAGTCTCCTTTGCGAATACGCCTTGTGCTGCTGACCCATCCGCATATCTATTCCACCCCATCAATTTAATGTTAAATACAATGCATACACTTTGGTTTAACAATTTGCATTAGGTCAAATGTCATAAGAGAGGTTTGAATTTATGTATGCTCAAATTTCAAACCTAACTCACAAGTCATACAATAAGTGACATTTATGTATTGTGCTGAATTGTAGCTCAACTCACATTTAATTTCACCCTCCCTTACAATACACTTGCATCTAATCCATGCCACCCCAAAGAGTTCTCTAAATAGTTGTGAGAAAAAAATATATGTGATGAGAAGAGACAATGATATGGTGACAAGAGAGACAGAGAAAGAGAGGTCCCTCTTCTCTCTCATTGATTGACCACCAAACTTTTCCCAAACCTTTCTAAAATATCTTGTCTCAAACACACACAAAACCTTAAACAGTAAAATGTTCTCCATTAAAATGTCTCTAAATCCCACCATCACCATCAGCACAAACTCCTTAATAATCTACCTAATCACATTTTTGAGTCTGTATTAAATAATGCAATCACCATTACCAAATGAGAGAAAGTACCTGTAATCATAGGAGCAAGGAGTGGAAGGAGTAGGACAAGTAGAGAGTGAGAAAAGATTCATCAAATCAACTTTACAAGTCTGAGTAAAGCATCCAACAGTTTTAAAACTTTTAGATTCTTCAGCTCTAAACACTCTCCGATTCTTAACTTTACCTTTGCCTCTCCCACGGTATCTACAATTCACCCAAGTAAGCTCGCTTCCTGTATCAACCACCACTCTAAACTTCTTCGCCGGAGTTCCAACTCTAACCTCCGTGAAATACTGCGCCGTTCCGTAATCAATCCCTGATCCCAAATCCATTTTCACTCCTCCTTTGAACTTACGTTTCCTAGATATCAAACTATGACGCTTCTGGTCGGCACCGATAATGTCCTCAATGCGGCTGAGAGGATTCGGCCAGAGAGTGTCCCGGTGTGCTAATTTTAGCCGCACCGCCGTGTCTTCCGTGGAATCTGCGGCGGTGAGTAGGAGGAGCGTCGTGATGAGACAGAGACACGAGAGCGATGTCTTGATTCTCTGCATTTTTCTGATTCGTCTTCTTGTTTTTGCCCCTTTTGGGTTCTGTTTCCAAAACAGAGTATTTATATACATTGATGAAACGCCTTTCTCTCTCTTTCTTTTTTTAAATCAGTTAATAACTTAAGGGCTTTAATTACTAACCATTTACGACAATTAGTGTTACTTACTTAAGACGAAACGAGACATGTCCACGTTTTGTATTCCGCGTACAAGCTCAATGGAAATTATTCATAAACCCCTAAACCAAATCACTCCTTTCATTTTTTTTTTTGTTCCTCTGGTATTCAAAAAGTATTAGATATATCTATTAACATATTAATATATACTTAGTATTAAGTCTCCTTTAGCTTAATACTATAAATACTCTATTGTATCATTACTTTTCACTTTAATGAGAAATCTCACAATTAATTCTGAATGTTAATATGGTATCAGAGCGAAATAATTTTCTCATTCCTATTTTCCCGGAAAAGTGATTAACGGAAAACAGAATTCCGATCTTCTTCTTCTTCCATCTTCTTCAGAAAATTTCTATATCAATCTTCAATTCATCATCATCTCCATCATCCTCCATCTTTTTCTACATCGATTCATCGATTTTTCGACTCAACGAGCTCATCGAACATCGACTCGTTATTCATCAATTTTCTTCATATTTCTTACTTACATCATAATCACTTTTCTTGGAATTCATTCTTCCGCTAATCGAATCAGCTTAGTTTTCTCTCGATCGATCTAATCTTGAACAAATCTTGATCTGTTTTTCAAAGTTTTTGTGATGACTTCTGGTGAATCTTCCCGTCAGACAATGGATCACTACAATAATCCATACTATCTTCATAATTCCGATCATGCTGGTTTAGCATTGTTGTCAGATCGCCTTGAAACAGGCGCAGATTTCCATTCTTGGCGAAGATCAGTACGCATGGCGCTTAATGTGCGCAACAAACTTGGATTCATAGACGGTACAATTCTTAAACCATCTGAGAATGATAGAGATTTTGGATCATGGTCTCGTTGCAATGACATGGTAGCGACTTGGCTTATGAATTCTGTTTCGAAAAAGATTGGTCAAAGCTTGTTATTCATATCTACGGCTGAAGGAATTTGGAAAAGTTTGATGTCACGATTCAAACAAGATGATGCTCCTCGAGTATATGAGATTGAGCAACGTTTGAGTGTTATTCAACAGGGATCTTTAGATGTCAGTGCTTATTATACTGAATTGGTTACCTTATGGGAAGAGTATAGAAATTATGTGGAGCTTCCTTTATGCACTTGTGGAAAGTGTGAATGCAGTGCTGCTACTCTTTGGGATAAATTGCAACAGAGAAGCAGAGTAACAAAGTTCTTAATGGGTCTAAATGAGTCCTATGAAGCTACTCGCAGGCATATCCTCATGTTGAAGCCTATTCCATCTATTGAAGAAGTATTCAATATGGTCACTCAGGATGAACGTCAGAAGAATATCAAACCAATGTCTAAGAATGACAATGTGGTGTTTAATACTCAGGATAACTCTCAGTCTGCAGTTGGTAGTACAATGAATCCTTATTCTGGTTATTATGATGGAAGTGTACAAACTGGTCAACATGTATATCAAGGTCCTCTAGATAACAATGTCTATGCTGCAATGCAGTCTCAGTACAGACCTAGAGCACCAAGACCAGTGTGCACTCATTGTGGCCAAACTGGTCATGTTATTCAAAAATGCTTTAAACTCCATGGTTATCCTCCAGGATATATACCAGGATTTAAAAGCTCTGGAGGTTATCAGACTCATAATGGAGGATATCAAGTTCAGTCTGCATCAAGACCTCCTAATCCATCATTCAACAACAATTTTCAACCTAGGGCGCAATACTCTAGTCCCAGACCATCGACACATGCAATTGCTAATGTCATGACTGGTGCATCTGGTTCAAATTATCCGGCTATATCAACAACCAATTTGGATGTGAGTCAGATGAATAAAGAACATGTGCAATCCCTAATACAACAACTGAATACTCATGTTCAAGTTTCAGAGAATCAAGCACCTTTCCCATTAGTTGCTTCTGTTACACAGAATGGTATTATGGATCCGCAATCTTCTTCTGGTACTGTCTCTTTTCCATCTACCTCTCTTCGTTTTGAAAATACCAAACTCACATTTCAACATCAATGTCTATCTTCTCTCTATAATCATCTTCCTCAGGGTAGTTGGATAATTGACAGTGGAGCTACAAGTCACGTTTGCTCTGACTTGGCTTTATTCAATGAAACTGTGACTGTTACTGGTGTTACAGTTTCTTTACCTAATGCAACTAGAGTGGATATAGCACACACTGGCACAATACATTTATCTACATCTCTAGTTTTGCATGATGTTTTACATGTACCTTCTTTCAAATTTAATCTCATATCAGTTAGCAGCTTATTAAAACATAGTCAAGCATCAGCTCATTTCTTCCCTGATTTTTGTTATATTCAGGAGTCTATTCAGGGCTTGATGATTGGTAGAGGCTTTCTGCTTCATAATCTTTACATACTGCAGCTTGATGCATCTTCATCTCACACTCTCTCATCTCCTGCTCATCAACATTTCTCTGGATCCTTGGCTGTCGATGGACATCTCTGGCATCAACGCCTTGGACACCCATCTTCTGACAAGTTAAAATTGTTGTCTGGTACTCTTTCTATGTCTAAAAGTAGTTCTTTAATTGAGTCTCATTGTTCAGTCTATCCTTTAGCTAAACAAAAAAGGTTAAGTTTTGAGTCACACAATCACATGTCTTCATCCCCATTTGATCTTATCCATTTAGATGTTTGGGGTCCTTTTACAGTTGAATCTGTAGAAGGCTATAGGTACTTTCTCACTATAGTTGATGATCATACCCGTGTAACTTGGATCTATATGCTAAGGAATAAAAGTGATGTTTCTAAACAATTTCCTCTTTTCCTTAAATATGTTAAAACTCAATATAATGCTGTTGTTAAAACAATAATGACTGACAATGCACCAGAGTTAGCTTTTACTGATATAGTTGAACAATCTGGCATGATTCATCAATATTCTTGTCCTTATACACCACAACAGAATTCTGTTGTGGAACGCAAACATCAGCATTTACTTAATGTGGCTAGATCATTACTCTTTCAGTCAAATATACCTTTAGCTTACTGGAGTGATTGCATATTAACCTCTGTTTTCCTTATCAATCGTATGCCATCTACTTTGTTAAAGAATAAGACACCTTATGAGATGTTAACAAAGAAATTGCCTCAATATTCTTTTCTTAGATCATTCGGATGTCTTTGCTATGTTTCAACTTTGCAAAAAGATCGCAATAAGTTCAGTCCTAGAGCTGATAGGTGTGTTTTCTTAGGATATTCTTCAGGATACAAAGGATATAAAGTGTTGCATCTGGATACAAATCTTGTTTCTGTTTCTAGAAATGTAGTTTTTCATGAAAAAGATTTTCCATTCAAAACAGACATTCATTCTATTCCTAAATCTGATATTTTTAGCAAATGTGTTCTTCCTCTGTCTACTGCTGCTGTTATAGATTCTGCATCATCATCAGAAAATCATGTCATTGATTCACATACATCACATTCATTGCATCCTACACATCACTCTAGTGGTAACAATCTTTCACAAGAAACTGTAATACAGGAAACCACTACAGTTTCATTGCCTCTTGCCCGGCCAAAGCGATCTTCTAAGGCTCCCAGTTACTTATCCGACTACCACTGTGCTCTCATTCAAACATCAACATCACCACCAAAGGTTTCTACCACTCCTTATCCTATTTCAAACTTTCTCTCATATTCACAATTCTCTCCTTCCTATCAATCTTTTATTCTCTCAATATCACAAGAGACAGAACCAAAGAATTTTAAGGAAGCTAATTTCACTTTTTTTTTTTCTTCTGTCTTTTTAGTTAGTTCATTCAACAAGAAAACAAAAGTAAACCTTTTGAAATGTAGCTAACGTAATAGTCAGCAATGACAGATATATAATGAGATCTGTTCTGAAATTATTGAGTTTCTCACTTATTATGACAACTTTAACTATTGGATACTCCAATAATTTATGTTACAATTCGAAACTGAAATTACATTTTTTTTTTTTTTTCGTATGAATGATTCATATATAAATCTCAAAGAGTTTGTCACAAAAACAAGCCAAAAAGCACAAAAGGAACGAAAACAATCATGAAACAGAGAACACCATTACATCAAAGCAATGCATTTTTCAGATTCAAAGACACTCTGTAACCAAAAAGGGTAGCCTTGCGCTACATATGATTGAGATCGTTCCTCCGTTGTGACACTTTTTGCAATCAGATGGGCACCAGTATTAGCCTTCCTATCTTCAAGCATAACCCTCCACGCCGGAATAAGATTTAAGGCAGAAAGAAGCCTTACCGACTGATATTTGAAACTAGGCCAAGCAGCTGGTCGATTAATAGCACCAACAAGATCCTTTGGCTCCAGCGCAAAGATAACATTAGGCACATGAAGACTATGCAAACTTTCCATTGCCCATAAAACACTAGTGAGCTCAGCCTCATTCTTTGAAGAGATAAACCCAAAGGATCTTCTACTATGGAGAAGAACAATACCTTCTGAGTTTCTCAAAACCCAAGCCGCACCACTAGTAGACTTCTCACGATCCCAAGCAGAACCTACATTACATTTGAGCCACGGCTTTGCTGGGGGACGCCATCTCTTGGTCTGAGCAGATACAACCTTTTGAATACTTTCTTCCTCCACAGTATCCACCACCTGAGCCTGAAACCATTCAGCCGCAGCCTCACTAATCTTGACCATCAAATTAGAGATACTAAAAGCAAGACCTTCAAAAACAAGATTGTTGCGGTTCTACCAAAGATACCACATAATCCAAGGCATTTACATTTATAAAATGTTATTTTAAAAAAATATTTAAGATGAATAATAATGAAAAATCACGCTAAAGATTAGTAGTAGTAATTAGTAAAAGCAGTTCCATTAATTAAGATCTAAAGATCCCCTATTAAAATTCAAAAAGAAAAAGAAAAACGAAAGAGTATAGATACTTTCTCGTTTGAGAAACTCTTTAGAAACCATATCTACAAATGGTTGGTCCAACAAATTATTAGTAGTAACAAAATTAGAGTTTGCATGATCGTGGGTTCCTTTTTCAACTTTTTTAAGACCACTAGGAGGAAACCGAAGGTATATATATGTATATA